CAGGGATGTGGTAGAGTCCCCATCGCTGGAGGTTTTCAAGATGCAATTGGACAGGGTGCTTAGATAATCTCATCTAGGCTCCCTTTCCCATAAAAGGTTGGACCAGATGATCTTTCGACCTGGATTGATCTACGATTCTATGAATTATTTAGTTTACAGACATTAATGCTGACTCATAGGAAAAAAAGTGTGACAATAGCTTTTTTTAGGTAAATGCATAGTATTTCAAAAGTTGCAGGTAGAAATATTGTTCTCATTGCTAGATTAATGTTAACTGGAAGCATTTCCGTTCTTTCAGTCACAGAATTTGATGAGATTCAAATGAGCACTTCTGGCAGTCAAACCATAGTACGTTCCTGAAACTGTAGAGCAGTTCAGCCTTGATTTGAAGGAGTGAACCTTTAGCAACCACATTGCATGACTTTTTTTTTTTTTTTCATTTAAAAAAAAATTTTTTTTTTTTTTTAAATTTAAAAAAAAAAGTACTTGAGCACGAAGGTATAAGTAGGAAACAATATCAGAACACATGTAGCCCATACACTGGGACAGAAAAACAACGAACAAAAGAAAATTGTTAATTCTGTGGCATGTGAAGATGATGTGAGGTGTTGAGTGCAACGGTGTGGACACAGAACCTTCGGTTATTTGATGCTGCAAAACCAAGGGATTTTGCTACTATACATTCATGTTTCCCTTTTAAATACATATAACATTGCTAGAAAGGAGTTAATACTATTTAGTTAATATTACCACAATAAAACTTGTGGGACAAGAAGATGATGAGAACTGGAAATTGGAAGCAAGGGCCTATACTGCAAGAACTGAGAGATGAAGGGTAGAAAAATGGAGAAATCTAGTCCTCTGTCGTATAGTTATTGTTACTATAACCACCTTGTATTAGAACTGTTAAGCTTTGAAGAGGTATACGTAGTCTATGGTTTCTTGTATTCATTTTTCTGTAGCTCTTTATCAAAACTGCCTATCCCTATTCCTTTTTTTAAAAAAAAGTCTCAGAAGAAAAAGTATTTTAGTGTCAAAGAGTCAAGTGTCATCCATTTAGATTTACTTATGGTAGCATTTAAACAAACAGGTTTGTGTGTTAAATGCAAGATATTGCATGGTCATCAAGTTGTACAACAGAACTTGAAGTTCCTTCTTCTGTTTTTATGGCTTCTTATGTCAAGAATACAAATGTTTAAACAAGTTTTCAGTTTAGAAATACATTTTTAAAGAGTTTTGGTTTCAGTGTTGCTGTTTTGGTTTGTTAGTGTTTTTAAAGCAACATTTAAATTATTAAATCAAGAAATAAAATTAATACACACTGAGGACTGTTACTGTTCTACATTGGAGGAATTCCCCAGTATGTGCTTAATAATCCAACTCTCACTTTGTTTTCATGGTAATAAACAGCACTGCAATCAAACAGTTGGTTTGTCAGAAGGAACTGTTACATCTTGTAAGATCTTTATGAATATGAAGTCATTCAATACTGCACTTACTGTAAGTGCTCACGTAAGTTGTAGCTACAGCTCATCTCCCATGAAATGCTGAGCATTCCCTTGGTAGGAAAACCCATTTTTCCTTCTCTCAGCGGGCTTCAGAATAATAATATGAGATGAAAAATAGATAATGCATATGTATGTTCAGTTTTCCTTTAGTTCCTCACACACAATGTCTTTTCCTTTTCCTTCTTTTTCTTCATGAAAGACATTTTCCACTTCTGTTGCCTCATATTATGATCATTTCCCTGTACATAACTCCAATGATAACCTCTTGTGTTATCCAGAGATTTTGTATCAAGGTCAAATCTGCCATCCACATGTAAAAATACTGCATTTTACAAAGTGGTTTGAATGTAAAATATAGCAGCATCTTTGACAGATTTATTTGTGTTCAGAAGTATTGAAACAGGAAGCAAGTATATCCACAGGAGAGAAAAAGATTTTGATCATGCCTGTCAATGTCCGTGGGCCTAGATAACAGAGTTTCTTGACAACTTGCTGTAGTTTAAAAACAGGTTGAACTTTTGTTTGGATCCATCTGGCAGTATCATCAACGTACATTTGCTGTTTTCTCTCCTTGCATACTGTTGCCCAAGAGCCTGAGGCATATTTATTTATGAGCCAGAGAAGTGATTAAAATATGGGATCTCAATGTTGTCTTTTTGAAGTCTGTTGGGTTTTTTTAGTAGTAAAGCAAAGTTTACTACTAAGGGAAAACTAAATTTTTTCCTACGTTTTCCTCTGTCGTGTTATTGCTAAAGCAGCTTGCTAGGGTGCTTTAAATCATTATTCTCTCTAAAAGAAAGTGAACAAGCTTCAGGTTTTTGTGAGAAACTTTTCATATATATTTAAGTCAATTCTTGGTCTTGGCGGTACTCTGCAATAGGTGACACAGGGAAAAGGAGGATTCTTGCTCTGAGTGTACTGCGTGTGTTCATATTACTCCCACAAAGGCCTTTAAAGTAGTCCAAATGTTCTGCTACTACTTCTGGTCATAACTCTTCAGTCCTAAAGAGACCACAATGATCAAGACTACAAACAGAATAACTTTTAGATCCACTTCTGTAATGATGTTACTGGTATCTTTTTTCTAATGTTACAAATTCTCACTCTTTAAGACCCTAGTGAGGTAATTTGTGAAATTCTGCAACACAGCAGTAATTAAAATTTGCTAAACAGCTATATTAAGCTGTCTACTTTTGTTTATTATGTACTAAAATTGACTATTAGAGCAAATAACAATTTTGAACATGGGTAAGTGTACTGCAGCTGAGGCTCCTCATTTACAACATCTCTAAGGGCGTGCCTAACCAGTTTCACGTGTTGATGAAGGGCCTTCGTTATTTGATATGGAATAATAAGTATGGATCACATAACTGATGCTCAACTCCTGTTAGCAGTGAAGAAAGTTGCAGAGAAACCAAGAACTGTTTTTATACTTCAGAAACAACTTGAAGGAAAATGCAAAATGCTTCAGTGTTGCTGTATGATACTAATACTCAAGGGATTTCTTTTGCATGTCTGAAGTGTATGGCCAGTGTAATTTGTACTGTAGCATTCTGAAGAACCTTGCAAATTGTAGGGAATAAAACTTCCTTATCAGAGAGACTGAATGGAAATGTCTGGTCACTAGGGCTGACCAGTTGCAGTGAATTAATCCAAACTTGATGTATTTTTTTCAGATTGATGCTGCAGTCCTTAATTAAATGCAATTTTTCACTAAAGTTAGGTGTTCCTAACTTGAATTAGGCAAGGGTTCCAAGTATTGATGTTTAGAAAAAACAGACTTGTGCAAGTAATTTGGCTGGCTATTTCTGCTGTGTATTGCCACATATCTGACAAAACTTTGGTTGTATTTACCATTGTCATGGTTTAGGCCCAGTTGGCAGCAAAGCACCATGAGGCTGCTTGCTCGCTCCTCCCCCCTCCGTGGTGGAGAAAATATAACAAAAAGCTTGTGGGTTGAGACAAGGACAGGGAGGGATCACTCACCAGTTATGGTTATGGGCAAAACCCAGACTCAACTGGAGGGGGGGACGGGGGATGGCCAGACGGACCAAAATCAATTTAATTTGTTACCAATCAAATAAAAAAAAAAAATCTTAAAACCCCTCCCTCCTTCCTGGGCACAGCTCCACTCCTGATTTTCTCTATCTCCTCCCCCTGGTGGCACAGGAGGACGGGGAATGGGGGCTGGGGTCAGCTCATCACAAGTTGTCTCTGCTGCTTCATCCTCCTCAGGGGCAGGACTCCTCACACTCTTCCCCTGCTCCAGCGTAGGGTCCCTCCAATGGGAGACAGTCCTCCATGAACTTCTCCAACGTGGGTCCGTCCCAAGGGCTGCAGTTCTTCACAAACTGCTCCAGGGTGGGTCCCTTCCACGGGCTGCAGTCCTTCAAGCACAGACTGCTCCAGTGTGGGTCCCCACAGGGTCACAAGTCCTGCAAGAAAACCTGCTCCAGCGTGGACTTCTCTCTCCATGGGTCCACAGATCCTGCCAGGAGCCTGCTCCAGCATTGGCTTTCCACGGGTCACAGCCTCCTTCAGGCATCTACCTGCTCTGGCATGGGGTCCTCCCCGGGCTGCAGGTGGATATCTGCTCCACAGTGGACCTCCCTGGTCTGCAGGGGGACAGCCTGCCTCACCATGGTCTTCCCCATGGGCTGGAGGGGAATCTCTGCTCCAGCGCCTGGAGCACCTTCTCCCCCTCCTTCTTCACTGACCTGGGTGTCTGCATAGGTGTTCCTCTCACATTCCAATCTCCTCCCCTGCTGCAGGTTCCCCTTCTTAAATCTGTTCTCCCAGAGGTGCTGATGGGCTTGTCTTGGGCCAGAGTCGGGTCCGACTTGGAGCCAGGGAAGCTTCGAGCAGCTTCTCACAGGAGCCACCCCTGCGGCCCCCTCCCCCACTACGAAAACCCCGCCACACAAACCCAATACAACCATTCACTGAATTCTTCAACGATTTTTACAGTTTTCTTCCTGTTCTTGTTGTAAACAAATAACTTCCTATTTTGGAAGTTGTGCAACATTTCCATTCAGGTTTTTTCAATGAGTTCATTCTTCCCTCAATATTTTAACAAGTCAGAGTCAGTTCTTTACATACTTTGGACTTTCATATGAATCATACAAATTCATTCCCAATCATGGAAAAGGACAAGTTTGTCTTGTGGTAGGGAACCTGTTAGTTCCTCACTGTTCCTAGGTACTTCCAATAATTGTGTCCTTACCATCAACAGAGGTATGAGAGGTTCAGTGAGAAAACAAATCATAAAGTATATGTGCAAATATGTACAAAAGTTTTTTGGTTTGTTTTTTTTTTTAAATCAAGATGTTATCTAATTTTGATAGTTCTGACAGTGCTTAGCTCTTGTCTGTGTTTACGGAATGTGTTATCTTCATTGCTCAGTAGAAACTACTGTGAATATGTGTCTGTTTTCTGAGTGCTGTCTTTTGAGAACAAGATTTTAACGGGGTTATTTTTCTTCAATTTCTTTAGCATTTGCCCTTGCTGAGTTGATTGACAATTCTCTGTCAGCTACATCCCGAAATACTGGTATTCGGAGCATACAGATAAAACTGGTAAGATAGAAATATTCTACTTTTTTTCAGGTGTAGTTGGCATAGTTTGCATTATCCTTTTTTTTTTTCCTGGTGCTCCTTTTTTTGTTGTTGTGGTTGTTTTTTTCCCCAAAACAGTTGTTTGATGATTCCCACGGAAAACCAGCTGTTGCTGTGATCGATAATGGAAGAGGAATGACTTCTAAACAGCTTAACAACTGGGCTGTATACAGATTGTCAAAGTTTACAAGACAAGGTGACTTCGAGAGGTTAGAAAATTTTAATCATTTTTACAACAATTAGTAGACTCTGCGAAGGTTCACAGAATATCATTTTAACACATACCTCTACGCCAACACTTAGCTGAAACCTGTCATTCCATGATTACATATAAATAGACATTTTTGTAGGTAGGAAACAGGGAAGCTTCATAACACAAAACTGCTTTTCTAATATTATGAAACTCTGAGAACATGTTTTTATTCTCACAGCCTTTTCTAAGTTGTCTTTGACTTGCCCATGTACAATTAGGAACATTCTGTGTTCTGGGGTGGGTTTTTTATAGTGTGTTCATCTGATACCTGAAAGCCTTTCAGTATCACATTAAGCAATGCATTCAATGTCTGTTATGCTACTTTTTCTTTAATCATAATTGTGTACAATGTAATGCAAAATTATACCTGAAGATGTCTGTAATTTTTGAAGGAGGCTAGGCAAAATAAATGCTTTGCATTTAAAGAAGAAAGTGGCGGTTTATGGTGGGTTTATATGAATTCATTTTACAGTTTTGAATCTGTTCTCAAGAGCTCTTCAACCTCCACAGCCAGACTTAACCCTAGTGTAGGAAATTCCAGAGAAGCAGTTAAGTACAGTTCTTGAGCTTTAGTCACTTTTTAAATACCTTAAGCCTAGGGCAGTAAATGTGAAGATGAGGATCACAGCCTCAATCATAACTAATTTGTCCTATGAGAAAGTAGTGTAAAAAGTAATGGGACAGTGGAAAGTGATAATATAGCTGAGGAGGGGGCTTTTTTGCATTAGAAGCATGTCAAAATAGAACAACTAATATCTGTCAGAGAACTGGAGATACGTGCATATGAAGTGATTCGGAGTCATCTAGTAATTTGTAAAGAAATTCACTGCTTTTTAAAATTGCTGTAGTTGAATTTAGTAACAGTAGAAATGTGTAGTGTTTTTAAGCTACAAGTTTAAACTGTGGGCTCGTACCATTCAATAGGAGCACAGCTGTAAATTACAGCAGGATACTATCTACACCTTGTTTTCATTTGGGACAGCTATGATTTAAAAACACGTTTGTCCTACCATTTGCTTAAACTACGTAAGACTTTTCATCCATCAAAGCTGACTTAAAAGACATGGAATTTAATTACTCATGGTATACGTAGTCTCTCCAAGACTGTGTTTAATAGTTGGTTGGCATTATTTCCCATTTTTACTCAATAGTATTTCTCTGAAAGGATGATGTCAAAAAGATCAGGTTTGCTTTGTAAGCCATTTTCATTTGCATGAGCTTCACAGTTAGTATCAGTACCTATACCACAGTACCTATCGCGCAGACCTGTTGACCATGTCCCTGTTGCAGAGTTAACAATGGAGAGAAGTTTTCAGAGTAATAGTTTCTTTTCTATCAGATTCTCCTTGCCAAACATTATCCTCTCTTTCATCTGAACGTCAGTGTAATATAAGCAAATTGTATGACTGAATAAGATTTGGTTTGCTAGAAGGGACAGAAATGTTTTATAAGATGACTTAAGAAAAGAGTTACTCTGTCATCATGCTTCTAAAAAGAATACATCAAGAATTTTAGGCACATACGTTTTAATGTTGCAATTATAATAGGTCTAAAGTGAAGGATTTTTTGAACAATGTGACTGCCGGAAGAATTTAATACAAGCTGTTTAGATCAGAAGTTTCTCTCTTTTTTTAAATTATGTTTATCTTGAGAAAACTTGTTAAACACACTTTTACTCTCAGTGATCATTCAGGATATGTACGCCCTTTGCCAGTGCCTCGTAGTTTAAATAGTGATATCTCATATTTTGGAGTTGGAGGCAAACAAGCAGTGTTCTTCGTTGGACAGTCTGCAAGAGTAAGTAAATATCAATCTTAAACATTATTTTAAAACATTTTTACATAATCAGATTATTATTATCCTAGCTTTTAATCACAGTATTAAACTATTTTGTTGTTAATTTTAAATCTTATTTTGATTTTAAATACCATTTCTTTAATAATATCAGATGATAAGCAAACCTGCAGATTCTCAGGATGTTCATGAACTTGTCCTTTCTAAAGAGGATTTTGAAAAGAAGGAGAAAAACAAAGAAGCAATATATAGCGGATACATTCGAAACAGAAAGGTAAATAGCCTTAATACTTTCTCTTTTTTTATTTGAAAGCTTTTCCCAGGTTAACATGATTTCACTATCTAATATTCTTGTAGTACTTATCTGGGGATATCTTTGTCTTATTGAATCGTTTGCACCCCGGAGTGTAAAAGGAAGTAATGGGAAACGTGAAGGCACTACATATCATAAAGCTTTATTTGTATGTGATTCTTTTTTATCTTTTCTGTTTACCATAAAGGACAGAAATTACATATAGTTTAACATATCAAGTTAAGAAAAATATTTAAAAATACCTTTCTAAGATCATTGATTGTTTCATTATGTATGAAACAAAGAAAAATGTCCGTTCTCTGAAGTAGTAAGGAATAAATTAGGGAGACAAACTGTGCTTATGTAAGAAGTATGTAGAACAACTAGCCTGTCTATGGGAGAGCAGTCCAGCCAGATAAACAAAACCCAGTGGATTCACAAATCTCCACTAATTTTGTAAAAGAAATGAACTGTTTAGTTGAAAACTAAAATGAACAGTCCTGATGGTTTTCATGAAGAAGAAAAGCTTAAGCAAAAAGCTGCAAGATAAGGAGGAAGACTGAAAAGAACTCTTCTTTGGACATTTTTGAGCAAGAAGATAAAGGCAAAGATATAGCTAAGGGTGCAGATGGGAGCATAAGTGGATGCTGTGTATTATGAGGTAATCAGACCTTGATTATAGCCCATATCTTGTGTGTTATCTCAGTGCTCTTGGCCTTTTGTACGGGTGAGAGGAACAGGAGGTAGATAATGTTTTTAACATGCCAATACTGGGGCAGTAACTTGTGACAAAGAATGAATCATCAAAAATGTATGAATTTTATTTTTAATCTCTCTGTAATAAAGATGAGAAGGTAAAGTCACAGAAATAGAAACTGAAAAGTAGACAAAATCTGTTTATTGTAGAGAGCACAAATGCTTTCCCTCCCCACTTCATATTAAAAAGGGAGTGTGGGGGATATAAAAGTAGAAAATAAGCTAACAGACATTAGTTGGAGGAAACTTGCTGAATGGGATGCATAGATACTAATAAAGAATTCAAGAAGGTGGTGCAATCAACTGTTTGAAAAGTTGAGGTGATAATATAAAATGAAAGCTAAGCTGATGCAGTTGAAAAATATTGCAAGTAAAGTTCTATTAGAGGTAAAAAATAACTTGTAAATATCAAAGAGGGAAGAGATGCTGTGAAGCACTCAAGTAATAGAAGTGAAGCGTGGAGATACTGGATAGACAGCTCAGGTCTAAGAAGTTTTTACAAATCATTGAAATAACCAGGCCAGTTCATTATCTTGATGTGAAATTAAACGTGTGAATTTGTCTCTATAATGTCTTGAAAAATGGTCTGCAGTGCACATAGGTGAGCAAGAGAATACTGTGGCAGAAATAGAAGTTGTAATGGATTACTGCAGTGTGAGAAGAATAATTGAATCTTTGAGGCATTGAGTTGGTAAAGGAAGTTACTTCTGCAAAGAAATCAAGATGTAATTAATGTCAAACCTAAGACATTCTAAAACAAGGCCAGAACACTGAAGAGAAATGGCACTGATGGCACCCCAGCCAATCATCTTCTGTTGATGGATAATAGGCACCTGTCTTTACTGTAGTCACTTCCCTGGACCATTTAATATTGCCAGCAAGTAAATACTACTTTTCTAGTTGAGATGGTTGCTAGGGATATTGGGGAAAGCACCATGGTAGTGTGTCATCTGTAGTAGGAAGGCAACCAAAGAATTTGGGAACAGCATTTTGGAGGTACTTTCACTGTGTAAGTTGTACAGGATAGCACTTGTTCAACATTGGTGTGCAGCTTCTAGGTCATTGGTCAAACCATACAGAGATGAGGACCAAGCAACTCAGGATTTTCTTTATTATCTGTGATCTCATTACTGGCATAGAAACAGCCCCTTACTTGGATGAAATCAGCAAGACTGTTAGGTTTAAAAGAGGCCATGCTGTGGGCAGAAGAAAGCATTTTAAGAATTTCAGTCTTTTTTGATGAACGTTCCCACAACTGGTTAGATTATCCTGTTGGTTAAAGAGATCTCTTTGATTCCCTGGGGAAAGTAAGTCTTAACAGAACACCCTTGACTACCATGTTTCACTGTCTACGGTTAGGTAGGACATGTATCCTTTCACGACTTTGTGATGTGTTTTCTTTTTGCCTGCTTTCCTGCAAAACAGGGCATGATGCTGCATTTACTACAGCATGAAAAAGTGTATCTTCTCCATTGTACCAATTGTTTGCAGTTGCTATAAAGATCTCAATCTTTGTGTTAAAAATAGCTTCTTTTCTGGATGCACCAAATGTAAAGGATTATCCACTGGTCCAACGTGAAACATGACATCAACGGCTGTGTTTCTCTGCAGTTTAGAAACCTCCTATCGTAAGAGTAGAGTGCATCCATCCAGGAAAAGACAATCAGGACTTTCTGGAATCAGGAACTTCTTTTTCTGTGAGACTACTGGGTATTTCAGCTGGAACTGAGGATTCACCCTTCCACGGCAAAAGCATGTTTCTTCCACTTCAATTTCTGCTATAGAAAGCAGCCTATCCATTTAAAAACAATTTTTTTTTTTTCTGACTTGGTTTTCTTAAAGAAGACTTATGTCTGGTACACATAGTAGTTCCATTTGATGGATGAGAACATGGATATCACACAGTGCCACATTAAACATGATTAAATGCATTTCTAGACTGAACACTTCAAATGCTATCATGAAAGTGAGTTGAAAATAAACTGGATCAGGGATGTCAGATTCTTAGTTTGCTGACTTTAATTTGGAAGGTTTTATTATAAGCGTTAATCCTTTGTGATACTTAGCATCATGTGTTCTGTACTCTTTTCCTGTTCTGTTTTTTAATACTTTTCAAAGCTAATGGGAGATCAGAAATTCAGTTTACATTCTTGCTCTTATTATTTTACTCTTTTTGTAGCCATCTGATTCTACTCACATCACAAGTGATGATGAAAGATTTCTTCGTAATCTAATATTAGAAGAAAGGGATAAAGAGAGTTTCACAGCAGTTGTCATTACAGGTGTACAACCAGATCATATGCAGTACTTGAAAAACTATTTTCATCTTTGGACAAGGCAGCTGGCGTAAGTTTGTGATTTAAAAGATATGATTTAAAAGTGCACTACTAACAAAGTCAGATAATTATGAATTACTTCCTTTTTGTACTTTGTCATCGGCTTTATTCCTGTTAAGGTTGTTGATACGTGTTTTGTTGATGCCACAATTAGTCTTCCTAACTAACTGATTTTACAGAAACCAGCACACCTGAATGGGGCCCCCCATCCAAATGAAGATGTTTACAAACATCAGTTTCAATGTGACTTGATAATTGATACGTAATTATCCAATTGAATTATCAATAACCTATTCAGTTTAATAGTTATTATTAATGTAATAATTAGATATATAGTTGTTAGTAACTTGATAAATTACTGTTCTCACAGCTGTGCTCCTAACCTTTATATCTAGATTTGTGGTTTGGCTTTTTTTAAAAAAAAAAAAAAAAAAAAAAGCTGCTGCTTCATCCCAGTTCAAGAGGGAGACTGATATGTGATACTGTCCACTGAGTACCATAGTAGTGTCATCAGTGGCCCTGCAGAGTTTGGAGATGTGGAAGTCTGTGATACCTGTGAATCATGTGGACTTATCTGTTAAGAGGATGGATCTATCTGTGAATGTAAACTGAACTATGAAGCCATGGCCCAATTTTGAAATCTCGCAAACCACAGAACTTGATTTTAAGCAATAATTTTATTTTTGTCTTACCTGTAATCTAATAATAATGGATAATACTTAATATGAGGATTAGTATAAGGATTAGGTAACACCTTATTATATGAAACATCATTCACTGTTGCAAGTAAAAACTTGTGGCTGAAACCCTTTTTAACCTTGTGAAAACGTAGGGGTACCTCTACATTGACAGATAAATTAGGTCCCTCATTAGCTTCTGGGTACTCTTCTGGTGAATACCCAAACTTAGGTGTGTGTTAGTTCATTCCAGCTATCTCTTGAAGTGAAAGAACTGCCTCCATTGGAGATGAAACAGAGGTGCAATTACTCTAGTGTATGTCCTGTAGCTATTACAGTAAAACCAATCAGATTTACCTTCCCAGTGCTACACAATCCTGTCGCTATTTCAGCTGTAATGGCCTTTTTCCCCTCAAAACACCCCCTCATACCATCCTGCCATGTCTTTTGCCACACATGCATAATACCAGTTTCATTCTGCTCTAATGGGCTACAGCACAGCCCTCATATTATTTTGGATGCTTTGAAGCAGAGGGAGGGGAGATGATCCCCCAAAATAATTGTGTCTTAAGGCCATGAGAGCACCTTTTGAGGTCTGGAGGAGATGCAGACAAAATGCTAAGCAGTTTGGACATACCACTCTGGTCTAAACTCCTGAGCAATGAGACCATGAGGAGCTTTTGTTTGGGAACCAAGATTTCTCCTTGGGGTGCATTTAGTGCAGTAGATGTCAGAAGCAAAGCGATTATAAACACTTGCAGGTGCATTTAACTTCCTTCATACATTCAGTCCCATTGACTTGTATAATCTCATTTTTCTGCAAACCACCACCCTGAGGTTTAAGGACTCAATATCTGAAGTTGGAAGAATTGGCTAGCTTGTCGAAAAGTTGAAGTAAATGCGGTTAAGTTCCTCAGTTTTCTCAAACTTCTTATCTCTAGGAAAATAATTAATCTATCTGATGGTGTGGATTTTTTGGACTTTCTTAAATGAGCACAAATGCCATTAGAAAATAATGTTTATGAATAGAAAAATTATTTCTAATATGCAGACCACATCCATGACTGCTGCGTGTATTCAAATGAGGTATCTTTACTTTTTGGAAATAACTTAAGGATAGTGATTGTGAAACACTTCTGTTACTATTAGATTATCAATACAAAGCTGATATCAGAAACAATATGTGGGAAGTTTTTTGGCTCTAGATCTTTTTAATCTCCAGAGTGTATTACAAATTACAGTAGTTTTATTAGTTTGCACTTTGTATTTTATCAAAAAATTGATATTAGTATGATTGTGCATGAAGGAGATGAGAGTTGGAAAGAGTGAAAAAGAGTCAATCCCTTTAGTAAATCTTCTGTACCACATGTACATGTTGTCATGGAGTTGATTTATAACAATGCAATGAACCAGTTATATTTTAATAAAAATGCAAGTTTATCTAGATTTTTGAAAATTTTGAAATTTTAAAATTTCACTTTCTGAGATTTATTTTTCATTTAAAATGTGTTTCAGACATATCTATCACTATTACATCCATGGACCAAAAGGAAATGAAACTAATGCTGTAACAAAAGACATAAGCCCTTTCAACAACATCGACATTCAGGTAAGAAGTTTTATACTTATTAGTCAAAATTCTTTGAAGGCAGCATTTCATATTGTGCCTGTTTCTCTTTAATCATGCATTTTGAACTACAGCAGCATTTTAAGATATGTATGTAATTTAATTTTTAAAAAGTAATACTATTTATCATTGCAGCATAGGAACTAATTCATTTTGCTAACAGTTAAGGTAAGTGTTACAAATGCTAATTACTGTAGGGTTTTTTGCCTAAGGAAAATCAACTTGTTTCATTTTTTTCCAGATTTCAATGTTTGAAAAAGGAAAAGTACCAAAGATTGTCAATCTTAGGGAGATCAAAGATGACATGCAGACATTGTATATAAATACTGCAGCAGATAGTTTTGAGTTTAAGGCACATGTTGAAGGAGAAGGTATAGTGGAAGGCATCATCCGATATCATCCCTTCCTGTATGATAAAGAAACATACCCTGATGATCCATGTTTTCCATCAAGTGAGTGAAATGTTATGCAGCTTATCAGTCCTGTTACAGACAGTCCTACTACTCTAAATGTTTTAATGAAATAGAAACTAGAACAATTTAAATTGAAGTGTAAGTTGTTATCTAATTTGGGTTCTGGTGGAACAGAAAAGTTCATATCCTTTTGGATGAATGAACCCTGTGAGAAAATTGGCTGTTGTGGTAACTCATTCATGTAAACCTGTTCTTTGACATAACACCATCTGATTTCAAACTATAAACTCTCGTGGAATGCAGTCTGATTGAAACATTTTGACTTTCATGACTGTTAGATCTTTGCTCCGAGAAAGTAATGAAACACCAGCAGTTTGATTCAAGAGATTTCTAACATCAGAATACCTCAGAGGACAACATGTAGTCTAAGTCCTTAATTTAAAATTTGTTTTATCCACCCTTAATGAATTTTCAGATGCTAGGGTTTTAAAATAATTTGTGTTGGTGATTTTTTTTTTTTTGACAAAACAAATCTTGAGTTTAATTGTGACAAGATTTTCTGATATTAGAAGAACTTCAGTTGTAACTAAGGCGGATAAGTAATATTTATTCAAATTTGAAATTTGCAAATTTGGTATATTATTCAATCCCTGTTTATTTTTTTTTCCTTAGCTTTCCTTAGTTTTTCTGCTTGGTATTTCTTAAACAGAAAAAAAAAAAATCCTAATATTATATATAACTAGCTTGAGATCATGTGTACTGCTACTGTGCCCAACTTAATAAGCATAGATAATCCTCAATTTAGACTGCTCTGGTTTTTGATATTAGTTTTTTAAAGAAATGTATTAATGGAGACTGTCTTCTTTTTAATCAAGAATTAAACGATGATGATGATGATGAAGACTGCTTTATAGTAGAAAAGGGTGCCAGAGGAAAAAGGCCTATTTTTGAATGTTTTTGGAATGGAAGATTAATACCATACACAACTGTGGAAGAGTAAGTGGTAATCTGCTTCTACAATGTAAACCAGTCTCTTTCTATAATGTAAACCTCTCTTTATAAAAAAGGGTTTTAATGTCTTTCTCCTTTTGTTTAAGTTTTGAGTGGTGTGCTCCTCCAAAGAAGAGAGGATTGGCACCAATTGAATGCTACAACAGAATTTCTGGTGCATTATTTACCAATGATAAGTTCCAGGTCAGCACAAACAAACTCACTTTCATGGATCTGGAGCTGAAGCTAAAAGATAAGAATACTCTGTTCACAAGAATCTTCAACGGACAGGTGATCATTTTATTCTGATAAGTATTTCTTCTTGGAAAAGTTTAATGCATATGATACAGAAACCTTTACTCACTGGACATTTGTTCATGTCACTGCATATTGACCCGTTTCTGAAGAACTTTCACCTTGGACACTTTTTCAGGACTTTGTAGCAGACACTTCTCCCAGTTTTAGTAGTAAAGTACTACTTTACTACTCTGAGTAGTAAAGCTGACTCTTTAAATCTGAAAAAATAAGAGCTAGTCTTTTTCCTTTTATTTTCTTAAACAATATCTAGTTGTTATATGACAGTTTTTGTGGAAAGACCCCCTTCATAGAGGAATATGGGTGCTGGGGGAAACACTTTCTCTGTCTTGAAGTATAGCTTTCCTAGAATTTTGTAGTGTTTCCAAGCTGAAGAATCCTTTTTTTTTTTTTGCGTACAATATCACTGTACTCTTATAATTGTTTATAATTCTGAAGTTGTCAGATTTAAATTTCATAATATGTTAATAGTATGTATTTCTTTTGTAAACTCTTTATAGGAGCAGCGAATGAAAATTGACAGAGAATTTGCTTTGTGGCTCAAAGACTGCCATGAAAAATATGACAAACAGATAAAATTCACAGTCTTTAAAGGAATAACTACACGTACTGATTTACCGTCCAAAAGAATGCAGAGCCCTTGGACAATGTATGCTGCAATAGAGTGGGATGGGAAAACATACAAAACTGGACAGCTGGTAAGTTAGTTGCTCACTGGTGTTGGGTTTTTGTTTGTTTGTTTTGTAATAAAGCACTTGAATGCTATAAAAGGCAACTACTGTACATTTGATGTAGAAGCAATGTACTGACAATTGTCTTTGCTTTACAGGTGAAAACTGTTAAGACTCTTCCAATATTCTATGGAAGTATTGAGAAATTTTTTTTGTATGGAGACCATGATGGGGATATATTTGCCACTGGAGGAGAGGTTCAAATTGCTTTGGTAAGACAAATATAAAAAGAATTCACACACCTAGTATGCCTATGGAATCTTTAAACATAATCCCAGGTCAGACTTCTTTAAATGACTTTCAAATAACTATTGAAAATTATGGTATTTTTCGACTGCTTAGTTACATTAATTTTAATGTAAACATATTAAAATTATTACTCATGATCAATGATCTGATTTATTTAAATTTGCATATGAAATAGATTATCACAGTTGGTATCAATAGTATGTTGTTCGTCCATTCTTAACCCTTGTGATTTCAGCAAATTTTAGAACAGTGTCTTGTGGAGTCACCACGTAGTATTTGTTAGCATATTGCATTATGTCTATGTCTACTTGTCTAGTCCCTTGATAGAGAGGTATTTCTTCTCTGCATATTATAATCTGGCTGTTTATACCTGCACTAAATTTTTTTTCAGGAACCTCAGGCATTGTATGCTGAAATGAAAACTGTTCCAATATCAAAACTTGACAGAACAGTGTCTGACAAAGCTGTTAAAAAATACATAGAGGATGAAATGGCAAGGTAAGCTCTAAATTGTAATTATTTACTTGTGGAGTTCCTAATAACAGTTTTAGTATTTCTTCAGGAACACAAAAATGTTCCGTTTTATTTCCAAATGGGAAAGCAGTCAGCTATTTCAGCAGAAACAAAAAAAACCCTAGAACTCTAAACCAAGAAGAAATAGTTCAGATTTTGGGTTTCTTTCCACCAAAAAATAGCTTCATGTGTATTGTACTAAAGATAAATTACCCTGTTTTTTAACTCACAGGAAAACTGTTCATTCTTTCTTTTTCACTAGACTTCCTGACAAATTATCAGTAACATGGCCTGAAGGAGATGAGTTATTACCAAATGAAACAAGATTTGCTGGTACACCAATAGGTATATTTTATTCTTCCAAATACTAAAAAAGTAAAATGTCAATTTAAAATTATATTATGCACTGTTGTTAAAAAAATAAGCATACAAAAATCTCCAATCACAGGTTATTTTAAATGTCCATAATTTTTCTTTTAAATACAGGAGCATTAAGAATAGAAATTTTGAATAAAAAAGGAGAAGCAATGCAAAAACTTCCAGGTACAAGCCACGGAGGTTCAAAGAAACTTCTTGTTGAACTCAAGGTTATTTTACATTGTAAGTATTTCAGTATATTTAAATGAGTCTTTATTATTTTGAAAATGCATAAAGGATAATAAATTTCTTTGTATATATACATATAATTCATACTAGCATTTCATAGATGGATGGATATAGCTTTTAATTTTAAGGACAATATCCCATCAGAGCATGTAGTACTCCAAAGCCACATTTCATGAAATGACAATTGCTTCAATGCCAAGGCTTAATGTCTTAATGCTATGTACTTTCCATTTTATGGGTGCTTCACTTGGTATTCTTATATTGCATTTGTTGAAGAATTGCATCCTCTCCAAGGCAACTGAAATTACTCAGTTGTGTGTTGAACACAAAATTAGAACACTGAATTCTCTGAAAACTCCAATCCTGCACGTCAAATATATTTGAAATTTTTAGGAACTTAAAATTTTGTTTGCCTTGTTTCTTTCCATATACAATAGGAAAATCTGATTCCTTTGTCTGATAAGAGTTGTAAAAATACCCTTCAGAAGCACTGAGGTTACTGTAGTGATACATGTCAAAGGAAACCAAATGGAAGTATCTTGGCTTCAGTTCAGTATATGTGTCATAAGACTACACATGGTATTTTAATGGCACTTGTTGTATGGGGACTGTCTGCTGTGCATGTCCATTGTCCAAGGTAGTGTGACAGGGCATGAAGAAGTTGGAACTGAAAAAACGTGTTCATGTTATACAGGTTATCAGACTATTTGCCAACAGCCTGGGGGACAAATCAGTGTTTTGCAACCTTAATTAAGGTAGACCATCACGACGTCAGGATGTATAAACTTGAAAGAGGCATGGTGTTTTGTCAGTGGTGTTGCTGGGAAAAATAAAGTTAAGTTTGCCCTTTGCCTCCTGTCACTGAAACGTCTATCTTCAGACCTTTCGTGTCTCCTGACCACTTTGATTCATTGATGGAAATTTGTAATTATAACTGTTTTTACTGCTTCCTATCTTAACTTTTGTCTCTAGTCAATTTAGGCATCACTAGGATAATCCCACTGTGTTTCACCAGAACAATGAGTAAGTCCTGCAAGTGACAGTTTGAGCATGGCACACCTGTCAAACTCAAACCCCTAGTCTTTCTTAGAATATAAAGCTCTCATTTGTACTAAAGTGGTTACACCCATATGAAGGCCAACAGCAAACATCTTACAATGTACAAAAAGTTTCTCTTCGCTTTTGAGGAGTGGAATACCTGGCAAAATATACTGCATACTGCCAAGAGAGTTAAGATGTTTCTCATAGCTCATCTGGTCTGTTACTGGGGAGCCTTATACAAAGTTCAGTTCAAAATTAGGGTCTGAATTATGGTTGAGAGAATAAGAAAGTTGAGGGGTCCAGTGGAGATAAAAGCTGCCAAAGGAAAGGGTGGGATAGCAGGAAAACTAGACTGTGAGAAACTTCTTGTATGGGCCATGGCAGGAGCACCTTGTCCAAGGTTTGGACAAGGGAAGCGAGGGCTGGCAAGACAGCTGGGATATGAGAAATTTTTTATCTGGGGCTTGTAAGGTTTGGCCAAAAAATAAGGTTGGGGTTATGGGTTAGAGCTGAGAAAAAGAGAAAGCTGAAGAGTCTAGGTGGAGCAGGAACAGAAATGGGCTACCAAATGAAAGAGTAGGATAAAGAGAAAGAGACTGCCTACGGGAAGTGTCTGCCAAAGGAGGCATGGACTGCCGGGTTTTTTTGTTTTGCTTGTTTGGATGTGTTGGGTTTTTTTCCTGGGCCACCAGCAGGTTGTTTCTCTAAGGCTCACTCTAAAATTTCATGTTAGGGTTGGTGGAAGGAGGCTGCCAAGACAGGGGGGGCTGCCAGAAAGCTGGGTTCTGGGAAGTTTGGTGGGTTTTTTTTCAAAGTCATGCCTGGGTGATTCTTGTCTAAGGTGTGTCTGAGAAATAACCATTTCTATCTCAGAATATTATTTTTAAAGCACTTCTGATTACTCAATAAAATTGCAGGTACCTCTGTTAAAATACTCAAATAGGTGCTGTGGCAATCTGTGGCAATAGTGAGGCATCTTTTCAGGTTTTTGAGCTCTTCAGCAAACTGTTTTCATCACCTAAGTATTTATTTTAGAACTTAGTTGACTGTTCCTCTGACCAAACAATTATCTTGTCACTTCTCTCCTGTAAACCACAATGGGAGATGCTCTTCAGATGCGTGTCTCTCCCTCCCTACCCCCATTTAATTTCTTGTGCTGTTTGCAGTACACAGTTTGCACCAAGTGCAGTGTTCTGTATCTCGGTGATTGTAGGGAAACTGTTAATATTCATAAATATGTTTGTGTGGAAGTGTCAAGAAAAGAACATGGTGGTTAGGAAGTCCCAATGGTGCTTTCTAGCAAAACAACAGAGGAGGGCTCATTAATCACTACTAATACAAAGTGTTTGAAGGGCTTTTCCTCTAGCAAAGGAAAAAATGGAGAAATTCCAAAGACAGTTCTAAATCTTTGCACGTGGCTCCACTGAAATAACTTAGTCTGTTGTTCAAATAAAACATCAGGATGTTTTTTCATCACAGAGACCGCAACAGCAGCAGTGGACATACCTGATAACTTTGTTATGCAGAACTGCTCTTGGGATTGTCTCCTCTTTCAGAAGAGAACATCAGAACATAACAGCCCTGCCTTTAAAAGCCAGGGTTTTCTCATTTGTCCTCTTCCAAGATCCCATTTATTTTATTGTCATCTTTTGTGTATCACTATGCACAGAACTATTAGACTTTCTTCACTTCCTATAGATAAATTTCCGCCTTAGATTATCTGTCTGTATTGGGGCAATACAAGAAGAAAGGTGTATATCTTCCAGCTGTGCATCTTGCATAATACAGAGAGACTTTCAGTTTAACTTGGTAGCAATACAGAAACTGCACTCACTTGAGAAGTTCTGTTTTCTCAGTGTTAGTAACTACCGAGGGTAGAAAACTCTCCAGTATAGAAAACTGAATTAGCTCTTGCTACAAAATGCCATCAAAATTTATTTTAATAACCCAATACTTCCAGTATTACACATTCAAAGAAATACGCCTAAGAAAATTGGCAGCTGTTACTTTATCTCGTGTATGCTATTTTATCTTGGTGCAAGAACAGGATCTGAAGCAGTTGTATTTAGCTATAGAACAATGTGTATTTTTACTGCATTTCTTTTTATTCTGTGTAGTGTTACTGCAGTCACATTCTGTATTTATTCAAAATTATGTTTTGAAAAACAAATATATTAATGCCTCTTGAAGTTGCAAACAATAAACCTTATTCCTGGTTTCATCTTAGGTTATAGTACCATTCACTAAAAAATTGCGTCAAAGTTTCAGTGTATTCTCTTTTCAGATGTGTCTTAATGCTGCAGAAGTGTTTATAAAGACAGATAATAATTTGGAGCAAACAAGGAATGTTCTTTTTCCTCAGTTATATGTTCAGTCAACTGCACATTTTTACTGTTGTTCCCATTTAAGCTAATTTGTTAGGGTCATTTGTCAAGTTTGATCAGTTGCCAGTGTGTGGAGTGCACAGCCTACAAGTGTTCAGACTTAACGGGGAACATATAACCAAAGAGCTAATAAAATTCTATTTTACAAACCTGCTGCTTTCAGTTTAATGTGTCTGAGGCTAGCAATTTTTAATTAAAATAGGATTAGGTAGGGAATTCATTTTTTTAGCTGTGATCAATGTGATTAATTGTGAAGCTGAATTTATATTTATTAGATTTAGAAGTGATAGTAATACTTAATAATGAGTGATAGTAATACCTGAAAAAATTAAGAAGTATGGTGTTAAATCTAAATACATGTAGCTAATTGTTTGTTTTTCAGCACCTACTGGGAATAAAGAAATAATTTCCCATATCAGTCAGCATGGAGGCAAATGGCCATACTGGTTTAAAAAAATGGGTAAGTTCACATATGCAATATTTTCAGTTTATTTATAATTTTACTTTTTTTGCTTTCTAATTGTATTCGTATTTCTGTTTAGAAAATCTTCAGAAACTTGGGAACTACACCTTGAAACTGCAAGTAGTATTGAATGAAAGCAATGCAGACACTTATGCAGGAAGGCCTCTACCATCTAAAACATTTAAATTTACTATTATAGGTAAGAATTTCAGTCATGCCAATTTTCTTCTACTTTTAGTGTTTCTATTTGATTCATTTATTCATGTTTTAGTTGAGAGGTAATTGTCAGCACTGAAAAGTAGCATTTGCATGTCAAATACAAAATATTTTCAGAAAAAAAAAATTTTGTTTTGATCTCACCTGTAATATGTTGGCTCTGCTATACAGTCAGGTTTACAAAAAAGTAAAGTGGTGGTGGAATCAAGAGCTTTTCTCTGATGTGAACTTTCCTAAATGTACTTGACAAAAATAAACCTCTTCTTAATTAGAATCACCCTTTTTCCTGATGCCATTAGCATAAATATTCTTTCATAAAACTAGTGTTCGTTAGGCCAACTTTCATGCATAAACCACAGAAAGAAACTCATTCAAAAACAGGTTGTGCATTTAAAATATGCATGTTGAGATCTAAGTCTCTTTTTTTTTTTTTTTTTTTTTTTTAATTAAAAGAGGTTTCCTATGCAAAACTAAACTCTCATTCAGTTATAATAGGTGTGTATCTTTGGATTAACCATCATAAAATACTTGCTGGAATACCAGAATAGAAATAATGCTGTTAAATATGTCTGGTGTTACTCTGTCTTGCCATACACTCTGATGTGTACGTATGTGACCTAAAATAGATGTGACTGATCATATCTTCTAAAGAAAATTAACGAATTCTGATTTTAATGACACTGTTGAAGACCATAAGATGTACAATGTAGGGTTACATCATGTTTCTGGTACAGCGTTGCTAGTCCTGTTTCTCTCATCCTCAAAGATGTTAATTTTATTTTCTGATTTATTTGTGTGCATTTATCTGTTAGTGGCTGGTTAGTTTTTGTTTTTCTGACTGAAGAAGTTTTATTCATTTTTGCTGAAAAGATTTAATTTCCGGGGAAAATAGGCATATATTTATGAAAAAGAGTAAAGCTATAGACTAGTTCGAAGTCGCTCTTTCTGTTCAGCAATATGAAACACAATTAATTTTTAAATTATAAAGGAATAATACGTTATCTGTAAATGAGACTTCATAGGATTAAAAAAAAAAATCTGTACTTTTGATTCTGTACATCATAATTCATCTTAAAGAAAATCTGTATTTACTTGCTAAATTAGTTTGCAAAAATACATGCTAACTGTGGATTATACATCTCTTGCTCTGTCTTATCACCAAGACTCATCCTTTTATGTGAGTGTGCTTGTATATAGTATTAAAAAAATTTGTGGCCTACATACATTAAAAAAATAGATCTTCTCTTGGTCTCTGCTCTCAGTCTCCAGTTCAAAAGGAAAACTTTTGTTCAGCCCTTTTGCCATGCTGTGACTTTGCCTTTTTCTGAAGTGGCAAAAACCAAGCTGAAATTAAACTAGGAATGACAAGGGAGGAAGAGCATTATCAGCAGCCCTATGAGGGAGTGATGGACATGGTTGATGAGCAAAGGGCCTGGAATGAAGTGACAGAAAAATCTCAAAATCAGAAAATCAACAAAATGGTGCTGAAGTGAGCCCACCTCTAGCATTTGCATGTATGCAAGGAAATGCCTACATGACACCATTACGGAGAAATCGCCAAAACCTTTCTGGGAAATCAGCATGCTTTGGTGCCTCTGTGAACTGCATGTACCCTAGTGCATGCATCATGGGGAATAAACATAAGTTAGAGACAGCAGGGCTATGATCTTGTTAGAATCATGGAGATGTGAGGTGGCTGACATAACTGGAAAGTTGCAATGGATACAGGCTTTTTAGGAAAGACAGACCAGAAAGACGAGGTGAAGTTGCCCTTTATGTAAGACACAGCTGGAATGCATGGAGCTCTGCCTGGAGATGGATGATGAGCCAACTGAGATTTTATGAGTGAGGGTTAAAGAGCAAACCAATATGGATGACACTGTAGTGGGTGTCTGCTATAGGACATCTGACCAAGAAGAACAAGTGGATGAGGCCTTCTACAGATAGCCAGAAGCAGCATCATGTTCACAGACCCTGGTCTTCGTGGGGGACTTCAGCCACCCTAATATCTGCTGGAGAGACAACACAGCAGAGCATAAGCAACCCAGGATATTCCTGGAGTGCATCAATGACAACTTCCTGACTCAAGTGATAGAGGAACCAACAAGGAGAGGTACTCTGGTACTCACAAAGAGGGTTTCACTGGGGATGTGAAAGCTGAAGACAGCTTTGGCTGCAGTGACCATGAGATAGTAGAGTTCAGGATCGTGAAAGGAAGGGGGGCAAAAAGGAAGCTCACAACCCTGGACTTCAGGAGAGAAAAATTAGGCCTCTTTGAAGATCTGCCTGGTGGAGTTCCATGGAATAAGGCCCTGGACAGAAAGGGTGGCCAAGAAACCTGGTTAATATTCACAGATCACCTCCTCCAAGCTCAAGTCTAGTCCATCCCAATGAATAAGAAGTCAGGCAAAAATATGAGGAAGACTGCATGGATGAACAAGGAGCTCCTGGCAAAACTCAACACAAAAAAGAAGTATATAGAAGGTGGAAGTGGGGACAGATAACCTGGGAAGAATACAGAGACACTATCCAAGCATGCAGGGATGGGGTTAGGAAAGCCAGAGTCCAATTGCATTGAAACTGGAGTCCCTGGCAAGGGGTATCAAAGGCAACAAGATGGGCTTCTATAAATATATAGGTGACAAAAGGATGACTGGGGTAAACATGGGCCCTTTGCTGAATGAGGCAGGGGACACAGGACATGGAAAAGGTTGAGATACTGAACAGCTTCTTTGCCTCGATACTTACTAGCAAGATGGACCTTCAGGAATCCCAGGCCCCAAAGACTGGTGGAAGGTCTGGAGCAAGGAAGATACCCTTAGTGGAAGAGGATCAGGTCAGGGAATACCTAAGCAAACTAGTCATATGTAAGTCCATGGACCATGATGGGGTGTGCACACATGAGGCAGAGCAAGCTGTCTGATATCATTGTAAGGCCACTTTCAGTAATTGAATAATCATGGCAATTGGAAGAACTACCTGATGATTGGAGGAAAGCAAATGTTACTCCTGTCTTCAAAAAGTGCAAGAAGGACTACCCACAGAACTACAGGCCAGTCACCTTTGTCTCAATCCCTGGGAAGGTGATGGAGTAACTAATCCTGGAAACCATTTTCAGGCACATGAAGGACAAAATTATCAGTAGTTAGCATGGATTCACCTTCTATGATGAAATTACTAGCTTGGTAGATGAGGGGTGAGTAGTGGATGTTGACTACCTAGACTTCAGTAAGGCTTTCAGCACTGTCTCTCATAAGTCATAGAGAAACTGATGAAGTATGGACTGGCAGAACGGCTGGTCTCAGAGAGTGGTGATCAATGGCGTGGTCTAGTTGGACGCCAGTAACTAGTGGTTACCCCAGGGGTCAATAGGGTCAATACTGGTTCTGATCCTGTTTAATGTCTTCATTAATGATCTGGATGATGGGGCAGAGTGTATCTTCAGCAAGAGACATGGACATACTGGAGACAGTCCAGCAAAGGCCCATGAAGGTGATGAAAGGACTGGAGCATCTCTCATATCTAGGAGACGTGGCACTGCTCTGCCTGGAGAAGAGAAGATTCATGGGGATCTTATCAATGTCTATAAATACCTGATGGGATAGTGTAAAGAAGATGGAGCCAGGCTCTTTTTAGTTGGTGCCCAGTAACAGGACCAGAGGCATGGGCACACACTGAAACACAGCAGGTCCCCTCTGAATATCAGAGGGTGACCAAGCACTGGCACAAGTTGCCTCAGCACTGGCACAGATTGCCCAAGAAGTTGTGGAGTCTCCATTCTTGGGGATATTCAAAAGCTTTCTGGACATGGTCCTGGGCAACTGGCTCTAGGTGGCCCTGCTTGAAGCAAGGGCGTTGGATAAGATGACCTGCAGAGAACCCTTCCCACTCCAACCATTCTGTGAGCTTTATCTACAAGGGAGACGGAGAGTGGGGAAGACAAAAAAATAGTACTTCCTTAGCATTGAATATTGAAATGGATATTTTCATCACAAGTTTAGGAGGTAGAGCTAACATCTGTTTCCAGAAGCTCAAGAAAAAATAGATGCTTTCAGTAGCCTCCTATTTTTTCCGCAAAACTAGAGGCTTTGAATGCAAACCCTTTAGGAAGAAAAGAGTTCTTTGTAGCATATTCTTCTAAAAATTTCTGCAAAAGTATTACTGGCAGAATAGAAAGAGGTATTCTTGTATGATAATACAGAAAAATGTTTGGCATTACTTGAAAGGAGTAATTTTTTAAACATATGTCTGAAAACCTGGCACTGAAGTCTCAAGGTACTTCTGTGAAGTTCCAAGAAAAGAAAAAAATATCTATCTCTCTTTCTCTGAACAAATACATAAATGAACCATGTCTGCTCCTTCTTTATCTCTATCAAAGCAAAAAGAGAATCTTAAAAGTTGCAAAGTTGCATTCTCTATTTTAAAAATTATTTTTCGGTAGTATTGTGGCTTTCCCCAGCATGGCAGCTTTCAATTAAAGGTTCCTTTGGCCATAACAATTGAAATGGACAGATCTGCTTGGAAAGGAATACACACTCTAAAAATCTAATGAACTAATAGTTTGGTACTTTTAACACAAGGGGTACCAAAGCAACTCATGCTATCTGCTGCTGCTTTTTTATCTAGTCAGAAGATATTTTGACATTTTTAATATCTTCAGTGTTGAAAAGTCTTTATTTTTGCAATGTTTTGTGTTGTCTCAGACGCAGCCATAAATCCTTGCACTCATTATTCCAAAATATTAATATTTGTGTGACCTTTTATGTATATAGATTCTAAAAATCCAGAAAAGAACAATTAATCTAAACTGAAATCAGCAGCCTTTTTGTCTGAGAAACAAATTATTTTATTTCTCTAACAGCAGGTTCTTGCTCAGTGTTTACAGTTCTTCTTGCCAAGCTAAAAAATCATCATAAGTGCCAGTTAAAACTGAACTTCCTAAGTCAATCTGTAAGTTTTCTGGTTCTAGTTCAGACATGTTATTTTGGTAGTTATTCACTTTGACAGCGCAGAAGTTCTTCTACTGTTATTTTGTCAAATCATTTCACAGTTTTATAATTCACTTGTAAATAAAATTGTAAACACTGTAAGGTTGAGGTCTTTTTGTTGTTGTTGTAACCAATAATAATTTTGGCCAATGCAAGGTAACATTTTCTCTCACCCCATGATTTTCACATCTCTTGTGCAAAAGAAGCTGCCTGATAATGACACCTGTAGGTAGTGAAAGTAGTTCCTAACTTGAGTCCAAAATAACTTGATAGGATATTTATCTACCATTTAGCTCAGCACTGTATTGCTTCTTTTCTCAAAGGCCACTTGGCCAAGACAGTTTTATTCCACAAAACATTACTCTTTTTTGCAAGGTGCCATTTGTACTGCTCTGTTTGGTCTCATTTTTTAGTGCCTAATTGGAGGCAGTCTAATGGGGCCAGATTTCACAGAAAGGATGCACTCACGTTTCTTTTTCAAATACTCATCATTACTCATCTTTATCTCTCAAATTTGGGATAGCTGTAGAACAAAAATGGTTTTTTGCATGAATGATTTTATTTTAACAGAACTAAAGCAACTAAATGTTTAAGAAAAGCTGTCTATGAGGAACTTACCCGCTTTCAGGTGCTGTATTGATACTCTAAGTACTTTGGAAGTTTGGGCTGTCCTGTTATGTTTCTTATACTGTAGTCTACTGCTATTAGGTTTTAACTATTGTTTTTATGTTAGTGTAAGTTAAAAAAAGGGGATCAACCAATAAACTGTGATTTTGGTTACAACAGTATTCTGAACAGCCTATTTACTTCAAGGCTGAAAACCACTTGATTTAATTGGAGCTTTAACTAAGAAAAAGCCAATGAACATGCATATTCCTTCTAAAAATATATTATTCTTTTCTCTTAGAGGGCAAACCAGAGAAATTTTCAGTTGGTCTTTTGGAGCTTCCTTTTCGGGTTGGAGTACCTTTTAATATTCCTTTGGAATTGCAGGATGAATTTGGTCATGCAACACAGCTTACAACTGCCATGAAACCAATTCTTGAAGCTAGGTAATTCAACCATCTCATTTTCTTTTTAATTATTTTTTTGTCCTTTCTTCATGTGACATTAATATAGTAAATCTTTGGGGTTTGTCTGAGTGATATACTGGATACTTTTCACATAAATTGACTGGCATTTTTGCTTTTATTTCCATAAGAATATCTGAAAGTTTCTTGTATATCAAAACACAGTGTTTATTTTTAAATTGATTCTCATTTGTTTTCTGTGTATTTTTCTAGTGGTTTGTCATTGCAGTATGGAGAAGTAACTGCAGGAACAAAGTGCATCATTAAGGGTGTCACTGCTAAAGGCTGTATAAATAGTTGCCAGGGCAAGGTAGGCTAATGAATTTAAACTTGAAGTAACATATTTTAAAAAAAACCCACAGAGCAAATAATTTTCGTGTAAAATACAACACATAGTGTTATCTAAGTTTGGTCTACACTAATGACTACAGGTATTTCTTGGGATATTTTCAAATGGTCTCTTACGGCTCTACCTGGAGCAATTTGTCTTTCCCACAGCTGCATTCTGTTAGCGGATGGGACTGGAGCTGGAGGGGCTGAGCAACACATGAGTGTGTGGTAGAGTATACTTAGCGTGCTAAATCAGCTGTCTTAGTTTAAACTTGTGCTGAAATTGGTTTAAGCCAAATCATCCTGGTGACCTTTGCACTGAAATAGCATAGGGAGCACTGAAATCTTTCATTCTTGTAATTGAGATAAGTGGTAATAGTTAATATGAGCCGTAACTACTCGAGCTTCTCTAGACATTTGCAAAATGCTGTTTCCACTTTTGTAGCAAATACATGTCATCCAAATCCAACCTGTTATTGATGGATTCTCAGCACCTAGTCAAGCTGCTAATTTACTGTAAAAACAAAAACATATGTTACATGCTAAAAAGATTTCTTTCATAAAACAGATCTTAATGCTTCTGATAAATATAAATTTGAAGATTGAAAAAAAAAGAATTAAAATCATGTAGATGGCATATTTACACAGTATTCTACCCAGGTCCTAATACTGTCATTTAGTCTTGCAGTCTAACATAGTAAAGACAAAGCTAGGAACTGAGGTAGCTGAAGATACCTCATTATACTGTTAATATTGTTGTTTAGAAAAAAGAAAATAATTTTGCTGGTGGAAAGACAGAGGATAGAGGTGGATTATGGGAAATAAAGTGTGTAGGAGCAGAAGTGCCAGGCTGTGGCAAGACATAAATTTGGTGAGGGGCTAGACCAAAAGTCATTTAAGGAACTTGCAGTACAGAAATAATACCATACCATAATAATGGAAAAGAAGGGCTGTTATTTTCTCACGTTGCTTAATTGAATAAAATGTTGGAGGCAATAAAGGAAGTGGCACTGAAAGTAGTGGTTCTAATTTATATGAAAAAAGGATTGTTTAAGGTGGTAATAAAAACAATGGCAAAAAGCAGGATGGTGGGACAACAGACTAAAACCAACAGATAATCTTAAAACATAAATACAGTATAATTTTGAGTGCTTAAATTAAAATAAGCAGAGAAGAACATAGGAGAAATTTTCAGTATTTTAAAAGTTAATTTTGAAATGGTAGCAGAACAGCTAAAATACCTCTGAGAAACAGCTAGTAATAGGATTCTGGAAAGAATTTAGAAGGAGAAAGTGAATGAAAGAAGAAAAAGGAAGAAATGGAGAGCATGGAAAAAATTAAAGTTAGTGTTTTTCAGAGAAAGGAGTAAGGAAAAAAACGTTGAAGGAATAATCATGCCAAATGGAGAGGAGAAACTTGATTGAGATGGGAAATACAGAATATAACAGTTGCCAATGAAGGAAGCATTGATAGAGAAGAAAGAGAAAGCAGACTTCATTTACTTCTGTAATCATTGATTTAATTCCACCCAAACCAGTCAAGATAGAAGGAAGTATATTTTGATCGTGGGTGGAATCAAAGAGAAAATTTTAAGATAAGTGTGTAAGCATTATCAAGAAGACTGCTGCCTTATAGGATTTTGAATACAGTCAGGAGAAGGGTAAGAAGGGAGTTTAAAAAAGGAAAATAATATTTCTTTATTCTTCTTTTTATTTTAAAAAGTACTGCAGTATACCTAGAAGCAGACTTGAAAGCAAAAGGAAAGTAGATAAAGGGATCATGAAGGATAAGGGAAAATACTTCCCTAGAGGACGCAGATGTTGAAAGATTAAAAGGAATGAAGTTAAACATGTAAACTGGTTAATTAGAGGCAGAAAATAGTGCAGTATTAAGAAGAGAGTATTAAGTAAAAAATTAGTATTGCAGAAAAGGGGTTGAAACTAAAAAAGGAGGAGCACAGGAGTGTCTAGTGCATGAATACAAAGCTTGAGTGAATGAACTACTGAAGAATTCAACTTACTAACATTAAACAGCAGCTAGCAGCTATAGTGGTTTCCTGTGGTTTTATTTCCTACCTTATTTTTCCCTCATCCCCTCGCCCCCTTTTATTTTTTTCTAGTCCCCCAACATGAAACTTTTCAGTATATTCCTATTTTCTTGTGATTCACCATTTGGTTTAATGGAGCTCTAGCTGATATGTGCTGCTTGGCTTGCAGGCAGACCAGTGTGGTTGGCTTGCTGGTCAGAGCTGGAGAGTTTTCATGCACCTCTGTGGCCAGCCATCAGCTGGGGAGCTCATGAGTTTCATGTGGCTGCAGTTGTGATGCATCTGGCCCAGGCCTTGTTGCACTTTCTGCTTCTCTTACCCAGCAAACAAAACTGTGTTGAGCTCTGGGCCCTTCACTACAGGAAAGACACTGAGGTGCTGGAGTGTGTCCAGAGAAGGGCAGCGAAGCTGGTGAGGGGCCTGGAGCACAAGTCTTATGAGGAGTGGCTGAGGGAACTGGGGTTGTGTAGTCTGGAGAAAAGGAGGCTGAGGGGAGGCCTTATCACTCTCTACAACTACCTGAAAGGAGGTTGTAGCAAGGTGGGGGTCAGTCTCTTCTCCCAAGTAATAAGCGCTAGAACAAGGGGAAATGGCCTCAAGTTGCACCAGGGGAGGTTTATATTGGATATTAGGAAAAATTTCTTTACTGAAAGGGTTGTCAGGCATTGGAACAGGCTGCCCAGGGAAGTGGTAGAGTCACCATCCCTGGAGGTGTTCAAAAAATGTGTAGATGTGGCACTTCAGGACATGGTTTAGTGGGCATGGTGGTGTTGGGTTGACAGTGGGACTCAATGATCTTGAAGGTCTTTTCCAACCTAAACGATTCTATGATTCAAACCAAAAGAACTACCTGATTGTTTTCATCCAGTCTACAAGGTGTTAATGTTGTGCATACCCTGTCAGGCATGGGAAGGGCATAAGCCAGGATTATGAAACTAAACCTTTCCAGAGGCAGCATTTCTGAATGTGTAAAAATGACAGTTCATGAATTGCAACTAAATACTTTCAAATATCAAACATATAAAATACGAAATTCACATATCTGCAGTGCAACTAGTTTTTAAAGTTGGAACTTTTAAGATTATTGATTAGAATGCTTCATTCTCTGATTTTAATGTGAAAATCAGTTTTAGCGATGCAGTTCTACAGCAATTGTTTTTCTTATGACCTTATTCAAAGATGAGATGGATAGTAATTGTGCTGCCTTGCTTCAGGCAATTAGCTAAGGAATAATGAACACAGAACTTGCAGGCACTTTCTTTAAAACTACTTTTTTTGAACTGATATATTTTTTCCCCAACTAAAACAGCCTCTAAGCAGAAAACCACAAGTTATGATAGCTGCTTTTAATGTTTTCAGAACCATGTAGTTTAACATGCAAATCCTAGATTGAACATCTATGGAAACAGTAACATGAAAAATACAGATACTAGTACATGAAAAAAAATCTTGATTTATGTAGTAGTGCAAGAAAATTTGGATGGACTTCTGAAATTTATATATATATATGAACTGACATGACTATGTGAGATAATTTATGATCTGGATTTGTTTAAGGCTAATATTTAAAATACTCTTTCATTAGAACTTTAATCTGAAAGTTACTCTTCCTGGTTTGAAAGAAGACACACAAATCTTTAAAATAAGATTGCAGCCTGGTAAGTATCCTTAAAATATTTGGTGAATTTCTGTTGAAATTTATTCTGACACTATTAATGAAATGCTTCTTCTCCCAAGAAGGTAAAATATTTAGTGAGGCATAAAAAAGGATATTCTAGCTCATCCAAGGGATGACTGAAACTAAATAAAGCTAAGGGCATGTCTTTCTTGGCAGGAATAACATCAAACTCACAGCCCAATCATGTCTATTATTCTAGCAGCTGGAATTTGTCTGCTTACTTGAGACTGATTTTTCACTTCTTTAATTATTTAAAATCTTTTTCTAACCTAGCACCATTGAATGAATGAATGGATTTATCTTGGTTTTCTTCAGCATTAAGCCCTTTAACCTGTACTGATCTGCATTGACTTGTTTTCCCTGGAGAAAACATCTTGTGAATGAATAAGTGCTCATTTAGTTTCTTACCCCAGCAAAGCGGGGTATGCTTTGGCAGTTGGGATTTTGTCTGAAATTTTTAGTGTTTCATGTTGCCTTTATCATAACACAAGAGAGCAATATAGAAGTCTGTAAGTCCACTGCCCTTACCTGAATTTTAAGTTTTGTTGGATGTCTTGATATTGAGGATTCCATTGTATTATACTTGTTATTGCTTGTTACCTGGGATTTTCTGGATTTGGGAGATAAGGTATAGTTTGAAGGCTGATTTTTGGCCTCCCAGGTTACCAAACTTTGGGCTTTCCCATCTCATTTTTTTGCAGAGAAATGGTATACTTCAAGCTTTGTTAGGCCAACAATGCACAGTTTCTTTCATTATTCTTTATCTTTTGGGGAGCTAAGGCTTCATGTAGAAAATGGAGTGGAATGATCTGACCTGAGACAGATTGTATTGTATTGTATTGGTTAGTTATTTACCTTGGACTGAAGGCAACTTCATCCTTCATTAGAATCTTTTGCTTTTGGCAGTGTAGAGATGCTTCACTACCTTTCTTCTCATTGGACTTATCCTTGGCTTTTAAAGCTGTTTTTTGAAGAAGGAGTGAATAAAAGCTATTTCAGTCTTTCCTTCCTGTTCTTCAACCAGTGAGTTTGAAATGGAAGTTTTAATGAATGATGCATAAAAGATGTTTCTGAAAAATGGCCTTCTTTGTTCCTTCTATTACTTCCTTCTCTTTTTTAAAACTCATAAAATAATTATATGTTCCAGGGGGTAGACTTATTTGAATAGCTTCACTTCACTATCCAAGTAGTGCCAACAAAATTTTCTTTTGCTTTTCTTTGCATGCGAGTTGTAGCTGTGGTGGTTTTGGTAGTTAAACTGCTGCACATTATGATTGATCAGATATCTCAACATTAATATCTTTGGTTTTAACATATCAGGAGAAACCTCCAAGTTTCTTTTTGATGAATGTGAATCTTTATAGTATGTAAATAGCACTATATCATGTGTTTAGACCTTGTATATGCTGAAGTTTATCAGGTTTATCTAAGTATTCCTCACTGAATTCATTCAAAAGATTGGCAGGTGGTATGTATTGAAGGACAGGAAGCATCTAGAACTTCTTGGCATAAACCAATACACCTGAATTGGTCTAAATGGTTTGTTACCACAAATAACTTGGTAGCTTAGCTTTAAAAACTTTTTGAGTTAGCAAAAATTGAAATCCAGTGTCTCACAAGTTACCTAAAATATAACTACTGTTCTGCAATTTTGCATTTTTACAGGCCCTCCTCATCAATTGAAAGTAAAACCAGATTCTGAAATTCTAAAGATTGAAAATGGTACAGCTTTCCCCTTTCAGGTTGAAGTACTGGATGAATCAGGAAATATAACAGCACAGCCAAAGTTGATAGTTCATTGTAAGGTAAGCTGCATTTCATTATGTGTCATGAGGATTTTGATACTTGCTTTTTAAAGGGCTGGGAAAAGAGGCTATTTTGGCATCTAGATAGATTTTATTATCTTTAATAATGCTTTTGAAGTTTCTGTAGCTTGGTGACCATAACTGTGACTCTCTTGCCTCATCTATTATGAGTCATTCAGTAAGTTTCAGAATCAGAGGAACTTGGCCTTAGAAATGGAAGAGAAAATTATGTGAGGATATATAGGTACAATTTTAAGGTATTTTAGGTCATGGTTGCCATATACAGTGCTAAAATTTGTTCAGGAAAAAAACTTCCTACAGCTTACTTTTGATTTGTTTTTAAAGATGAAAATGTAAGTCTGGTGCCTAAAAATAATACTAGATAAGACTATTATCATAAGCATTTATCTAAGTTCAGAAGGGAATACAGGCATTACTGTGGCTTTTAGAAGGAAAAAACTTTTGCCCTTTTGGACCTATTTTTTATTAACTCAAGAAGGTGACTTTTCCAGTTCTAGTGAAATCAGTCTTCCAGCAAGAACAGATAGACAAAAATGTTTTTCCCACTGCAAAAAAGTCTGCATTCTGTTTACACTTTATATTCGTACATTCTTTTTCTGTAGACTAGGTCTGCAGTAGTATGATGACATGTTGAACTTGGTATTTAAATTCTTTTTAATGTGTGATTTTTAGAAAATTAATAAAAAGGAGGTTTATTTAACAACATAGTTGAATTTATTGCCATAATGGCAAAAGAGACTAGTGTTTATGTGTTAATACAAAACAGTCAAATAGACAGTAAATATTACTTCTGTAACTTCTTCCTTTCTCCTACACATCTCTTATGACCTGTGAAAAAATATAGGTGTTGATCTTGCAAGCTTCTGGAAAACTGAAATCTTATCAAATTTATCTGTAAATAATCCTATATATGTTTGGACTTGTATAAATAATCTTTTCTGGAATAATCCTAGTAGTTCTGTAGAAGAAACCTGAAGTTTAATTTTATATTTTAAATAGTTTTTAGGTGCTTCAAACCTTCCTGTGTATTCTGTGGACTGCAGTAATGCAGGAACAAACATTTTAACTGGTCCAGTTATACATGTACAGAATATCAAGAAAGACCAGTTGCTGAAAGCAAGGATTGAAATACTTGTAAGTATTGATTTGGATGTTTGGATGAACAAAAGATTGAAACCAGTTTATTGTACTGTCTTGATAGTGTACTGAAGTCTTTTATGTATCAACTTAACTCCCAAAAGTTACTGTTTTAGATACCATAAGCCTGATAATCAGGTGGCTGCCCTTTTTCCTCTCTGGGAAATCATAAAAAGGCAAAGAATTTTTTTCTACCTTTTCTTCACCTCTTAATCTTTATTTCTGAAATCCCTAAAGTGTTTCAGAAATACGCATTATTTCTGGGATTTTTCTTCCCCTTTTTAGTCCCTGGATCCTTCTGACAAATTGCCTTCATTGCATAAACATTTAGAGCCAGAATAGACATGGCAACATGTTCCCCAAAACTTTAGTAAAGAAGGATATATTTTTTCAAAGGTTAAAGATCAATAGCTTTTTGTAGCATTTCAGTCTTAAAGCTCTTGAAATTTGAATTTTTTTTTAATGCTGTTGAACATCCCAGTTCTCTGGTAGTCAGGAGAGCCACACTGCTGGAGAAAATAAGACCTGTGGTGTTTTACAGTAAAAAATGTGTAAACAAACACTAAAATGGCAAGATGACCGCTATGGAAGGATATTTATGATTACTCTTAAGAAGTATTTTGTAAATTGTATAACATAGTACTTTTGGAATAGAAAATGTTTTCTAAATAGCTAGCATCAGTTCTAGTATCTGTTAAAAGTTGTAAGTATTCTGGCATATCCTTTTGATTTATTTTTGACAAGTCAAGCTGATTACCTGGTCACACCTGGTAATCCTGAGTAGTGCCATAGGCTATTATGGAGTGATATTTATGCATATAGGTACATCTAATATCTTTTTTTTTTTTTTTCCCCATGTATAGAGTTGTAAAGATGTGCCACCAGTGGAAAAGATTATTAAACTTCTTCCTAGCAGTCATGTTGCAAGACTACAGATCTTAAGTATGGATGGACAAAAAGCTATTCAAATTAAACATCAGGATGAAATTAATTGGGTTGCTGGCGATGTCATGCACAACCTTATATTTCAGATGTATGATGAAGGAGAAAGGGAGATACACATAACTCCAGCTATGGCAGAAAAAATCAAGGCAAGTTCTTTTGAGTAAACAGCAGCATAATATGGGGGAGAGATACAATACTGATCCTCTAAAATCCATAGACATCAGACTATGAAATAATATTCATCAAGACTGTATTATTAAAATGGGTACTTCACTCTCTGCTTAATAAATTTTTAAAAATAATTTTATTAAAATTGTGTCCTCAATGAGATAAAGACATTTAATGAAATGTTAAGTAAAGCTTCAGGGTAGTGTTATGAAAAGCAGGTTAGTAATTTCTAGTGCTTCTCCTAAACACAATAAAATAATTCCAGCATAGTTATGATTCTTCAGATGTGGGGTTTTCCCAACATTTAGGAACCTTGAATAGGCATGTTCCTTCATGAAGATTTGCTTACCTATCTTATCGCTTTGTCTGTGTACATATGTGGAGCCTAATATGAAGGTAGAGCTTCCCCAAATATGTGACACTTTTTTTTGGTGAGATTTTTCAGAATCATATCTTGCCTAACTCAAGATAAGTAAGGAAAACAATGTATATTTTGTTTTGTTTGGGTTTTTTTTTAGAGTAATTTTCTGTATTTGGGAAGATAGCATTGTTTACTATTGGGAAATGCACAGGCTTTCCATTGAAAGCTTCTATTGCCTGTATGTTACTTCAGCATATTTAGAATGACCACGGATGTATTATGTAGCTAGTCATTAATAATTTAGCTTTTGATTAATTTAAGAAATTTTAATTTTAGGTTAACTGGACACCTAGAATTAACAGAGAACAGCTGATTCAGGGATTATTACCTGATGTAAAAGTACCAACATCAGTAAAAGATGTTCGTTACTGTCTAATTACTTATCTTGATGACCATGTGTCTTTGGAGAGTGCGTTCACAGTCAGGTTTGTTCATGTGAAAATTTTTTTTTATGAATTATGTTGTTGGCAAAGGATTGTAGATCTGTACTTTGGGGCAAAAAAATCTTTCTGCAGAAGCTGAAATAATGAAACAGTTGGCAAATTAACAGGGGAATGTAGGTTTGGTTGGGGGGGGGGTTTATGCAAACTGTTTACAGATGAGAATATTACCTATGTGAAAGACTCCATCATGGTCTGTTTGTATCCAGCCCTATAATCACTTCTGTGAGCGTACATACACTGAAGATTATTGCTATCTTTGAAAACTTCCAGTAAACCTTAGCTTATAGGATAACTAGTTTTACTGACGAGTCAGGTCACTGTTTACCAAAGAGATATATAACTATGAAGTTAATTTTTACCTTTACAGAGGTTATTACTTTGAAGCTAAAGATAGTATTTATCTAGCCAAATGCTGGATGCTTGCATCTGGTATCTCAGTCAAAAGTGACAGGCTGTAAATTGAACTTTAAAATTGCCTGTTTATCACTTTTAGTGAGTCTTGGCATTTAGCTCTACTTATTATATCTTTGTAAAGTTTGTTAAGATGAATCTGATTCTAAATTACTTTAGTGTTTCATGTGTTCTTAATAGGTCAAGATTAAGTAACCAGTTTATAGCACACTGATGTGGTAAATTTGCAGCAATTAGACATTTCACCAATCTGCAGTACAAAAAACCCCTACATGACCAAGCATTAAGATGCTTTAAAACATTGGGACCATAGTGCTTGTAAAAAGCTGTCCATAATGTAGCACTGTCGGAGACAGAAAAATTTTCAGTTACGTTGTATTTTCTGTTTTAAGACGAGCAGAAAAGCAGACTGAATTGGTACCTGTCTTCTTGAAAGGAAGGTAGAACGGTGGATTGATTTATTGAATATTTTTAATACATTTTTGATTGTCGTTGAAAAACAGTCTCAGATCAGGGAACTTCTTATTTAGGGGTTATTCTATTGTCATTGTTGTAAAAATTAACTGGAGGTCATTCTAATGGGATTTTTAAAGATCTCACTGCAATTTTTAGCTTAGAACGCACAAAAATAGTAAAAAACATTGTGTTGGATAACTCTTAAATAACTTACAGATGTCAGATAACTCTTAAATATTTGGGGAGCCAGCACATAACATATGTTAATCTTCATCAAGTAAACGGAAGGAAAGGCTGAGATTATTTAACCACAGAAAGTATTTTTAAGACACTAGTGATAAGCATAATTTAGGCTGATGACTTCTACTTTATCATAGCAAAAGAGGAAATGGAAATCTGATTTTTCTTTTTTTATGGTCGTTCATCTTCTCCGTAATTTTTATAATGTGCTCTGGTTTTGTTTTGCTTTAAGGAAAAACTGTATCACTAAAACATTTAAGATATGTTAGTTGTAGTCAGGTCCTTAAGAAGTCAGCAAATATTTTCATAGCAAGGGAGACGGTGATACCTTTGTATGTATGTATCAGGATTAAAGTTGATATTGTAATTGGTTTTACAGTAATAGACATATTTTAATATGTAGACAACTATGTTACTTCAGCTTAGAAGTGTTGGAGATGGTTTTTTTTCAAGATTTAAAATACTGCAAACTTGAATTCTGCTTTATCTGGCTAATGATCTGATCTATGGTAAAATACCAGTAGGCAAGTTATTAGAGATAAGTTAAAATCCCATAACATTGCTGTGGTTTGTTATGTAAGTAGTGTCTGATAAGCTCCCCCTTATAAGATTGAGGTGAAAGCTACTATGTAACTTGTGTGCACGTGTGGTTTGATCCTGTAAATATGTGCAAGGAGAAAGTTAAAATAAAAAAAAATTCCAGTTGCAAATGAGTGATAACTGCTGTATGCTTTATCATGTCTGGTCTTATAAGTGATTACCTTCATGAGACTGATTATAAGTCAATTTTCATATGCTGACTTAGACCACTTCCTGATGAACCCAAACACATTAAATGTAAATTAAAAGGACCAAACACACTGCAGATGGGTGAAGAACTACAAAGTGAAATTGGTGAGTATTTGCATATTCTTCAATTTCTTGTAAGGTACATTTCTTTTTCTTTGCAGTTTATTAGCCTGTTATGCATACAGATGTCATCAAGAGTGAATTATCTTCAACTATTTTAATATAAAAAACAGGTTTACATTTTCATTCACAGAAGGATGATCAGACTTCTCCAATTGCCATTTCACAATTCTGGAGTTACTCTCCAATAAAATTTGCCACTTAGTTTGTACATTGGGACATTCATCACACTGAGTTCAAATTGTTCGTAAATTTTTGTTTAGTTCATGTATTCTGAAATCTTACAGGCCCTAACAGCATTCAGACTATTTCAAAGGCACAGACTTCAGAGTGAAACATTTTAAGGTTAACTTTAACCTAAGAGGAAGGCATGTTAGTTTGGGATCAGTCTTCTCATTCTCCTTTGGTTTCTGTACAAAGTTGCTACATTGCAGAGCAAGAAATTTAAAATTCTTACAGTATTTTTGAATGTTAAAAGCTTGTGTGTGAGCAAAGAAAAGCACATAGGACAAACCAACAGGTTGAAAAACAGCTTTCAATTTTAAGATTTTTTTTTTTCTTTTAACTTTATAGCAAGAAATAATCTTTTTATTCAAAAAAAGTGGGAAGCACAAATATGTTATATGACTATATGGATACTTCCTATTTATACCCTTTTGATAACCCACAAGATGGGGGGATCTTATCAATGTGTATAAATACCTGAAGAGAGGGTGTAAAGATGGAGCGAGGTTCTTCATTGGTGTTCAGTGACACAAAAAGAGGCAACGGGCACAAACTGAAATACAGGAAATTCCCTCTGAACATCAGGAAACACTTTCTCACTGTGAGGGTGACCAAGCGCTGGCACAGATTGCTCAGAGAGATTGTGGAGTCTCCATCCTTGGAGATGCTCAAAAACCATCTGGACATGGTCCTGGGCAACCTGCTGTAGGTGGCCCTGCTTGAGTAGGGGTTTGGATCAGATGACTTCCAGAGGTCCCTTAAAACTTCAGCCACTCTGTGATTCTGTGATACTCATGTAAATTTTCTCTATATTGTGTGTATGTTGTATACATTTATATTCTGTATGTTGTATGTTTCATTAAAGCAGCTGCTGGGGTAATCATCTTAGTAATCATTTTAATCATCATCATGTTTTTTTAACAGATATAATGATTACAGATCAGTATGGAAATCAGGTTCAGACAGTGACATCTGCATGTCTAAATTCCCTAGGAGTTTCTGGGCCTGGACTTGATAAATCCAATTTGAAAATAACTTGGCAGGTATTTATAAGATGTCATACAGTTTATTTCTCTGTGGCCTTTGTGTGGTAATTGTCTTAATTCTGTCACACAGAATTGAACCAAAACTGTAGGAAAGTAGACAAATTTAACACTAGTTGGTAAGCTGTGAGAAGATAGAGACTTAAAGCATTAGTCATATGATCCTGTTCTAAGGAATACAGCAGCATCTGTTAAAAACCTTATCACTGCTGCAGCTATACAATATGGGGGCCAGTTCACTTCATGCTTGAGTCAGGTTTGTTTTGTTTCTAGTCCATTGTTCTATATCTTCTCTTCTAACTTGTTTTTAGTCTTTTCTTTTGTGTTTGTTTATGGTGGTACAGTTGATTTTATTATCTTTTGAAAAACCCTGTAGAATGGACTAATGATATTGTCTGCCATAGTTTAATTTAAAATGCATTCTATACCTTTTAAAATATGTTGGGTATAACTAAGTTGTACATAACTCATACATTGAAAAACAGGTTCCTGAGAAATGCTTGAGTTTAAAATTGATCACTTCTTACACAAGAAGTCAATTTAAATTTAACAAAAGGAGTGGAATTTGTATTTTAATTTTTAGTCCACTGTCTCACAGTAAAAACAGAAAAAAGTGTCTAGCAGGCATAAATATTAAAATACCATATTGAAAAAAATTTAATAAATTATACTACCCTTTATTTGTTCTTGATAAAATATTTTATTTCTCAACAGGAAAGTACTCTAACAATGAGAGTAAAAGGTATTCGGTTTAAACCTTGTTTACTTGGAAGCAAAGAATTGTGCTTCGCTTGGCGTGAATTTTCCGACTTTCTCAGAGTAAATTTAACTGCAGGATCGCCTGCTAAATTACAATTTGTGGATTGGCCAGAGTTAGAAAAGGTGAGTTGAACAGTTTTGGTTTGGAAAAAAACAAGGGGTCACTAGTCAGCAGGTCTTTCATTTCCAGAGCTTTTTGGAGCACAGGATTCAAAGCTGAAAACCTTGACTTCTCAGTATTGATACTTCTAAAAATTGTCAGAATATGACAGCTCTGGAGACTTTTTTTATTCTATACAGGACAACATAACACAAGCAAATTTAAGAAAGTATTTTGCAATCTGTCTAATTATATAGACATGTTTTAAATGGGACTGTAGCTGTGAAGCATTTTTCGTACAATAACTATGTTAGTTTTTTAAAAGCGAACTTATTTTGGAGTAATCTAACTCGTGTGTGTGTTTACAACACTGTATTCTGTAATATCACTTAAACTGTTTATTCTGTCCCCTTTGCCCTTCTACAGATGATGTATTTTTCTTTTCTTTGGTGCAGCAATTTTACTGTGGGCTGGATCCTGACACCCATCTTCCACTGCTCTTTGCCAAAGATACTGTCCTTCATGGTAGTAATAGTTGGCAGCTCGTCTCTCCTTTATCTGTTATTGGGGCTTTTTTTGATATTTAGGGTGTAGGAAGGCAGTCCCAAATCTACTTAAGTTTACAAGTGTTTACAGTCAGAAAGTGGGGAAGGGAGTACAGTACTTATATCAAATGAAAAGGATGGAGATTTTTGGTACCATCTATTTATTTGATGGGGCTTTTTTTATTTTTCAGTGTTTACTTGGCTATTCAAGTGATAGTGCTGAAGTTGCAGCAGAAAGCAAAATAGGGGAGTGGAAGCAGGTAAAAGAAAATTGGGTATCTGAGTAGAGAACAGAAATAAAGATTGGCATGTTGAGAAAATGGAGAAGGAAGTTATTGAAGAAATAAGTGAAACAAAAGTTTCAGGGAGTATCATAACTTTTTACTGTCTAGAAGGCTGTCAAGGCATATCAGAAGATAAATTTTTAGGCCATTTGCTCCTTCTACAACAAGGAAACTGTTTGGTAAGCCTCTTCAGAAGCATGTCCTTCCTTTTAGTCACACAAACACGAGTAACACATGCAATTCAATTCAAGTAGTGCATTTTATAAAGACAAGAGAATGTAAATGGGAAAACTCTAGAAATACCTTCCCAGAGTTTTACAGTTCTGTTATGGTCTAGCTGTTATGGGAGACAAATAGTATGGAAAAGGCAGACACTTGCTCTGGGGATTCCTGACCTGCCATGAATGTCTGATACACCTAGAACAGAATAGTATAATGCATTTGTATCTATTCCAGCCTGTTGCAGTGATTAATGGTAGAGAATTGCAGAAGCCCCTTATTGTTCAGCTGTGTGATCAGTGGGGAAATCCATCTCCTGAACCTAATGTCAAAATCAGCCTTATAAAGGGTAACAACTTAAAGGTAAGCATAGGCCTTTTTACGTGAACTTTGTTTAACACAAATTTTTGTTGTCAAGTCTACATTATCTTCTTCATTTTCAAGACATTTTTAGAAAAGTGAATAAAACATTGTAAGGGCACGAAAGAATAATTAATCTCATATAATGGTAGTGTCAACAAGTAATGTAAACAGTTCCGGGATGGATTGCTCAGCTTCCTTTCATTTCATTCACAAATATAACAAAATTCCTATAGTACAGTGTCCAAGTGTAATTAGTATACATTCTGGATCTTCTACTGAACCTTCTTCCAAATTCTTCATGCACCCCACCCCCCACTTTATCTGAGGTAAATTACTGAATAATAATGACAATGATTATATGGTCCAAACTGGCAACTAAATCATTTTTATCTGGTGGTTCTTTGATTGTGGTTCCTGAATGTATGACTTATGGTCTGTATGTAAAGCTAGTCAGCAGCTTTGCTCCTTACTTGATTATCCCTGTGAAAAAGCATTGGCAGTATAAACCAAATTAAAACAATGAGGATGCAAGTCTAACCCAAATTTAAGTGATTACTGTCCTTTCCATGGGTGAGGTATGAGTGTCCAATGGTCTGCACATCGCTCTGTATGAAGAAAGGAGTTTGACAGAATACCCCATTCATTAAAATTTTTGTTCTTGTTATTAGAAAAAAAGAAAAGTCAAACTGTCAAATGTTCCTAACTGTTGGTGCAGAGACCGTTGTATTGAATGTGTACATTATCAATACAGGATATATTCATCCACCTGTGGACATGATATTTTTTCATGCAGGGCTGGTCTTGTTCCCTTTTTGTTCCTGCTTGTCAAGCATTTGCGTCCCTCAGTTCTCTCGGAACACACAGCAGCCAAGAACTTTCTTTTGCTCATCCCTCAAGAACTGTGCCACAGCCTCACCTTTCCCCCAGTTTAACTATGCTACTATTACTTATTTTTATTGGGGGTTTTTTTTTGTGGGGAGGGGGTGAGAAAATTTCTTGATGTCTTGAACATTTTTCTTCTGGCTCTTTTGAATCTCTTGCCATAGAAGCCTGCCTCATAGTTATGGATTATTTTTGTTTGCCCCAGCTACTGCCTTTATGATGGCAGCTGCAGCTCCTTGGGGCTTCTATTTATGTTGTTCTTGAGAGAACATACAACCTTGACAGTAACAGTGTGTGGTTGTGCTGCCTGATCAAAGAGATGTTGTGGTGGCATGCTGTGTCTTTTCAGATATTATGCCTTCCTCCAGGGAGGACCAACAGCATGTCTTAGAAAGTCTGCAAGCTTTTTATACAAGTGGGATGTGTCCAGGAGAAAGTGTTCTGAAAGCCAAGGTGGATCACCTTTATAATGTGTTTATTACAGTGCGCGCTCCCAGAACTTAACACCGGCGTCATTTCTGAGAGTTACTTTCATACATTAGCAGAGAAACCAACTGCATAGTTGCTGAACAGACATTGGATCAGTATTCATGAGTATCTTGCAGAACCTCTTTAGAGAACTGTATTGCCTTGGCATTTCAAATAGGTTGTATGCACAGTCTCCCAAAGGAAATGAGAAGCTTCTGGGAACTGAAATTCTAAGATAAGCTGTCTGTCTATATTTCACACCCCATCCTCTAAGTCTCTTAAGCCTGATATTTTGCAGTTGTAACATGCATTTCCAGTACTCCATTCTCTGTCTTACAGGTCCACAGCTAAGTGAGTATGGCTGAACAGAAACACTCTGAACTCTTATGTGCAGCTCAGTAGTGGAAATGCACAAAGCACTGGTTCCTGTAAAAATTAAAACTTTCCATTCTGTGGTGTACAGTAATTTCAAATACAGACTTATTTTGTTGAGTTGAATATACTCTTCAAAAGAGTTTATGAAACATCTGGCAATTCTCTTAGCATATCTTTACAATGCTGCCTTCCATTTGAACCATTAAGCACACATTTTTTGCCATTGCTTTTCTCTAGTGACATGGTAGGATAAATTCATGCTCCCATAGCTGATCCATTATGAATCAACTTCCACAATGTTTTTTCCTAAAGTGATTTCATTCTTTTAACCTACTGACATGAGATTTGGGAAAGAAAATAATTTTGGAAGAAGATTGCCCACTTCAAGTATTCCCAAAACATTGTTTTTATGTAAGTGGACACTAGACACTTAGTCTGAAATTTGTGCTGAAATAGCAAAGGGGAAGCAATTTAATGCCAAACACTATTCAGGTAATGACAAACATTTGCACCACATTGTTTGTGTTGTATCATCAGTGAAAAAGTTCATCTTCCTCATTAGAGAGGAATTAATTAGAGAACTCAGAATGTATCCATGGCTTCCTTTGCTGTTCTCCAAACTTTAAAGCTACTATCTGAGGGTTTTTTGATATGTTGACAAGATATTTCTTAGGTAAGGCTAAAGCAGCATGCACACAAATTTGCAGAATAGCTTCTGCTTACTTTAAGAGTGTAGTAGTATTCTTTAAGATTCACACCTGTTTCTGTGAGATGATAGGCATTCTCTTATCTGCTACACTGGAGTCTATAGTTTCAAAAAGTTGTTGATAAGGAAAGTGCAGTGATGGCTTCTCTGCAATTTAATGTGGAAAGGCAAGTACGACTTAATGGTACTGCCAGTCATGAGATTTCACTTTCAGTGCCAGGGAAGTAAGTGTGGCAAAGATGGGGTGCACGTAGAAAACACACCTTGAAGAACACTAGTGAGTTAAAGGGGAGTTATTTTCTAACAATGGCATTCAGCAAGAATTCCTTTAAGTCAATAGTGGAATTTCCATTGACTTCAAAGGACTTAGAATCAGACCTAATTAGTATGCTAGGTAAATAGGGGATGTATAACGCATTTGTGTTACTATCCTAAAACAATACTGACAAGTAGTTATCCTTAGTAGTCTTTGGTTAAATGCCATTTCTTATGGTATAGAGATTAGTTCTTGTTTGTCATTAAGTTTTGATAAATAAGGTACTGTACTTCATCACTTGTGGTTCCAGTTTTTGCTAGGTTGTGTGGCAGTCTTACATTTTTGGCAGTGGGACTAGAATGGGGGAAGGGGAAGAGACACACAGATGTTTTAGTTGTTTTTTACTCCAGTTATATCATTCTTTAATGTTTGCTACCTGGGAATCTCTGTGCAGACTGGAGGAACACTGTAAAAGGGAATAAATAGTTTGTAGAACGTTTTAGAATCTGAAAATATACTCAGATTAACATGTGCTATGGATGACATTATAGCATCAGTAGCAATTAAAGAAATAACATTAATAAAAGAATTGAACATATTAATGAACAAAAATATCCTAGTTGAGATAAAGTGATTGTCTTTAAAAACTGCCAGAGAGAATTCTGAAACCTCTTAATATTGTATTCATAATAGTGTATCTTTCCTTAATTTAGAGTGCAAAAATACAAAGAAGCTTTTGCTCAAATGGAAAGGCAGTATGCAGGAAAATGAGATATACATTTTATTCTAAGACTTGATACTACTTCTGTGTCATTGAAAGAATAAAAAATATTTTTTTTGACAGATTGTTCCTTCAAACCAGCAACTTAAAACAGATGAAAATGGTAGGGCTAACCTGGGAGTTATTAGTATTCATGCACCTAGGTAAGTAGTGAAACTATATGGAAAAAAAGTGAATTCTGAAATGTCGCTTGCTAGATGTATTTAAGCTGCGCATTTCATAAAGTACCTACCAAGAATTAATCTAGAGCTAAGGTCAAACATTTATTATTTATATGTCAGTGGAAGGCCAGATAGTGAGCTTTAAGAAATTAAGTGCTTAACTAAATAAAATTCAATAGCTGTTTCTTTTGGTCTTCCGAGAAGCTGCTGCTCTCATTTTCTGAATCCTGTTTTTTCTGGTCATGGTAAAACACAGCTTATAATTGTCAACCTGTACCTAGTGCAGATGGTGTCATAAACCACTTAAAATATTTGAAATGTACAGCCTTTGGGTGACCAGATCCAGACACTATGCTTTCAAATTAGGAACACATTTTAGGAGTGTTGAAACCCCACTTCTTCTGGGTGCTAGCCATTGTTTTAAGGGATTAGCAAAGTGTCCAGAAGAATTTTGAATATACATATTTATTTTTTCTTATTTGCAATAGAACTAATGAAGTCTCATTTCCCGCAGATGTGTGTCCTGTGGCTCCCGTTTCTTCATGTCAGTCACACGGGTTCCCCTTACACTCACATGTCCCATCTGACTTTTCAAATTCATTATTTCTGTATCCTCCTCATGTTCACAGTTCTGCTACCCTACCCCGAGCTTTTCTTGCAAGACTAGGTTGGCTTTAGGTAGCTTAGAAGCTAGCAATAAGTGCTTGTTCTTAAATTTCTGAAGTTTTTCATAGCAATTAATACTTTTGCATTCATATCTGCAGGATTTGACTCACAATATTATTTTGTATTTGGAAGAAAATCTATTTTAAATGCTATTGATGGTGCTTGGTGTATTTATAATGCCTGCATCTTGGTAGAAGAATAATGAATATCATTTATCAATATATTGCTGGAGGTTAGAAACAGGTGTGCTTAGTGTTAGTGGTAACATCATACTATTGATAGCATAATCAAAACTGGCTGAGGAGTACAGCCTCTATGCAGTTAAATATCATTCCCAGTTCTGTTTAAAATCTTAAATGTCAAGTTTTTAATACTGCAAAGAAAATGAGTTATTCTATAGCAATGAAGCCATTATATACTTGTAATGCACTTTGCTAGATGTGAGTTGTACGCAGATTCGCTCTTTGGAAATTGTCAAAGCAGAATGCCCCTCAGCTTTTTAATCAGCTGTGCTTGCTTTCCACCTCACTGTCTTCTGCACCTTAAAGCTGTAGTTGCTAGTGTCTTACAGACAGTCAATGAAACAAGATCAAGCTAATGAAATATTAAAGCAAAATTCAATTTAATAAGGTAATATATTAAGGATATCTTAAACTTATGATTTTACTTGTCTAACTTTGCATTAACACTTCCATTTTTTTTCTTCCCTTTACTATTGATAACTTTTAGATAATTTTATTTTGTCATGCTTTCATGTACATGATTCTGACTTGAAGTCTGTTGAAAATTGTCTTTTCAGAAGAGATATTTTATAACAGTTTGTATGATTTCTGTATATTTCAGGGGAGAGCACACTTTACAGCTTAAAGCCTTACACAACAAGACCACATTAGATTGTCCTATAATCACATTAAATGTCCTGCCTGATCCTGAGAAACCTGTCTGCTTGAATGTTAAATATGACAAAAATGCTTCTTTTCCAGCAGGAGGTACCTTCCCTGGTAAGTATAAGGATTCTTTGGTGGAAACCAATCACTCAAAAGCTTTGTAAACCTATGAAAAACTATTTTGATGATTCTCCTGGTATATTTTCTTACCTTTTTTTGTCTGTTTTGTCTCAGTTCTTTGTAACAGCAGCATCTGAGATGCCTCTCTTAATACTTGGAGAGAAAAGATACGTATATCATCTTTGGAAAGCATTTCAAAAGACCTATTATTTATGTATTGCAAATTACTGGTTTTATCTGTCTGTAAAACTACAGAATCTCTTCTCTGTCCTTAGTGAAATACCGTATTTCAGGTTTTGATCTTCCCAAAAGATGATCTGAGCTAGCTCATGCATGTTTTCCCTCACCTCATTTTCTGTGGAATAGTAACAAAGGAGGTAGCTATGAAATTACAGGCCAACTGTGAGCCAAGAGGAACCGAAAAGTGATCAGAAGTATGCCAGGGACAGTACAAAATATTCTTCTCTCCTGCTGTATTCTCTCACAAAAGGACAATCTTTGCTTTCTAACTGAGGCTGATAAGTCATAAAAGAAAAAACCCATCTCTTGTTTTATATCCCAGTAGTATTCACAATAAGGAAAACAGATAAAGAAGAGCAAGTTATGACCATGAGGAAACATCTTTCGCTAAAAGCAAAACAGAATGTGAAACCTCTGCTTTTTCCTGTAAGGACACTTTGGCATGAATAGGAGACCTATACCAACTAATTCCATTAATTTGGGAAATAAGTCTTGTTTATGATAACCATGGGAGATACTGTTTTTGAATTTGCCAGTGAAGTACACAAGTTTACTAGCTGTTCTTCCAGAAGATTTCCCTGTTTAATTTGTAGTAACACATTTGCACTATGAAACCATGATACAAAGATACTCTTCAGAAAGCTGAAGTCCTGTCTAAATAAGTTAAATAGAAAGCAACTAGATTCTGTCACTTTCAATATAATACCATATTAAGGAAGGCAAAAAAAGAATTCAGTAACGATTTAGTGAAATTAAAAAACAAAAAACGTGTGAGACTTGGGAAGCCTGCTGTATTTTGTCAGTGGCACCTGTGAAGGAGAGTAAGGTAGTTTCCAAACTAAATTTTTTTTTCCATTTGATCCCATCCTTGGTTTAAAAAAAAAAATTAAAAAATTAAAAAATCACATTAGAATCTTCAGTAGATGACTTTTAGACCTATTTGATGAAGTAAATACTAACAAATTTCATATACTGAATGGTATTACCTTAAGAATTATAAATTAATTTAGCCATGAAATTGCTAAGTTACTAACTCTGATATGCTAATCCTATTTAATTTGGTCTTTATTTGAAAGGAGTAAATTAAGGTGGCAAATCTGATGCAGTTTTCAAAAAGTTTCAGGAGAGGTAAAGGAAACTTTTGATCAGTAGATACGTTTTCAGTACTGGGCAGCTGTTGGAAGGAATATAAAGAATATAATTAAGTTGGTACATGGGTAAATGTAGAAATGGGAGCAGGCTGGGAACTACATGACTTTTGTACAGAAAAGTGATGCCTTGCAAATGTGTTTGAAGGAGTTGACAACTGTGTGAGTATGAGTGATCCTGCTGATATAGAGTACTTGGTTTCCTAGAGAGCTTTTGGCAAGTACCTTAACCAAAGGCTCTTGAAGCTGTTACTTACACTGTCCTTCCTATACTTCAGTCTTTCCCTTGCCTTTAGGTGGACTTCAGGAGATAACATAGTATATATGACATTAAATTTTGATATAAAATTAGATATTGAATTCCTTATTAACAACCTCATATTTAATTAACATCCTAATTATTGGATTTACTGGTGAATTCAGGTACACCTGAGGGCAGGCAATGTAATTTTGGAGGAAGTCATGCCTGAATTTTTCATGCACATCAAAGCGCAGTCCTTAAAGTGCAAAATTCAGTTCTACCTGAGCAGTGCAGCTTCAATTACATGCATGAAATCCCCCTGTAACCATAGTGTCAAAGTGCTTAGTTCACATTTTCAACTAGAAGGGTAGCTTTATTCTAGTTTAGATTCTATTTCTTTCCAATGTGTGGCTAATAGATGGGGGAAATGGTAGTGATGTTGGTACAGTCTCATTACAACTACTGCACCTTTCTAGCCAGTAGTTCAATGGCTAAAGCATTTAGCCATTGAAGGAAGTGGGAGATCTGGATTTCCTGCCCTTGAAGGGAGGAATCAGCTACTTAACTAGCTAATGATTGTTCTTACCTGAGAGCAAGAAGAAGCCTGGCTTGCTATTTTGATAAGAATGATAATCTGGGAAAGGCAGACTTGAAATTTGAGGGGTTTTTTTAAAGCAGTCATTGGATAAAGCAGGTGGGGTTTGTTTTTTTTCTAAGGATTGTTACCTGGTCTAATTACAGGGCTAGGGTAAGAAGGTTTTCTGTATCTGGTTTTAAATAGTTTTGTTGTTTGGGTTCTGTTTGGGATGTGGGTTTTGTGTGTTTTATCTCTAGGTGTGAGGGAGACACAGAAATTCATGGAGTTTGATCTTAATTCTGAATAAAAAAATCATGAAAAAATGTTGTCTTTCATTCGACAGATTTTATGGTTAGTGTTCTTTCTGAAGATGACAACATTATTAAAAATATTAATCCAGCACGGATTTCTATGAAAATGTGGGAAGCACAGAGCAGTGGAACTAGGATACCAGTTGATGTAAGTCATCAAAATGTGTTTTCAAAATGAGTATCAAAATGCCAGCATAGGACAAACACATTTGTAGTAGAAACTTTGCTTCATTTAACTTAGATCAATATCCTGATCTAGATTTTAAATAACAAGTATTACATATCAATCATGTTTTTTTTATCAATATCTGTCCTGTTACAAGTTGTCAGACTGTTCAAATGTCAAGACTATAGTAGGGACAAAAATGCTAGTGCTCTGCAGAAGTTAACTAATAGCAGGGAAACTATTCAAAGTTGCCACTCTGAATTTTGCAAAGACAAGACTCCAAGAATTAAGAATATGAAACTAGCGTCTAAATTATAGGTGATCTCACTGAATTACTGTATGCTATCAGAACTGCAAATCATTAAGACTTGATAGCATATTACAAGTAAGGTACTTTAACTTTCAGTGTATTGCATTAAATTTTTTGCATCTTTCTTTTCAGGTTACAACATTTAGCTGTAGTAAAGTGAAGGACGACAAAGAAGATGGTTTCTTCTACTTCAGGTGTAGCAGCATTTATTTTATAATTACTGGTGCAACTTACTGTGCAAAATACATAGTTTGAAATAGAAACAAGAGTTTTAGGTGTTGATAATAACAATCTGTTACAGAATTAGTATGATACAGTGCTACAAAATGGTAAAAGATATTAGCAAGATGCAATGAGCATGAGGATTGAATTCTTCCCTAGATACATTTGACATTTGTTTAATCTGAGAGTAGAGAAGAAGAGAGTCTAAGATAATATATTAGAATACGTGGTGAGAAATACTAGCAGTGAAGGGACTATATCATCTGCTTGTCACTTGTCTGGTAACATTCCTTAATTCTTTCAATGTTACGTTCAACTGCTGTAGAATTGCAGGCTAGACAAAGTGGACTTATCTCTGATTTAATACCTTCTGTGGCTGTGTGTTAATCCTGAAGCATGACCTTGGCCCTGTCAGTTAAGTGGTCTTTCCTTGGGCTACTTATTCAGAGGTAGTGTCTTAGATGACAGGCAGCAGAACTAGAGCTCATCATAAGCTGATGCCTGACTGCCACATTCTTTCTACATCTATTCTTGGCAAGCATGCTATGGGATCAGTTACATAGTTGTGGTACTGGCTGTTGATTCAAGCTCTTGCCTCCTAGGAACAGACTTCCCTTCTGCTTTTAGAAAGTAGACTTTAGGATCACCTCAACACAGCAGATACCACTGTTGCACAGCTGATCTTGTTCCTGCATTAGAGGAACAGAGGCTGCTGCAGCTCAGCTGTGTCAAGATTCCACCAGCATCTGAGTGGCAGCATTTCAAGAGGTGATAGGAAGTTTCCTAACTTGCCTCTCAGCTGTAGCTCTCCTCCATTTCAAGGCACATAAGAGTTCAGGAAGCTAGGCATCCATTTTGTAATTCTCAGGAAATCTATGTGCTTTCAAGACCTTGATGTAGCATTAAGTCTTCAACACTTTTTTCCCTGGGGAGCTGAGGCTCAAATCCAGGGTTCTGACCCAGCTTGATATGCAATCCAAACATACCTCCATCTGTAATTCCCTCTGTCACAGCCAGCCAAGAAACTATCCTATCTGGGAAGGCAGTTTATAGAACCCTTTTTATTCAGTCTTTTTAGCTTCTCAGATCGTGCACAGCAGCATAATGTATTTGTATATGAAGGCTTTTTCATTTAAGAGATTACAACTAATTCAAAAAGCTATTTAAGCATGGCTTTTTGTATCATTACCAAGATCTGTCTTTACCTTGAAGGCATTCAAGGTTCCAAAGCCGCCTATGGCTGAGTTTGGCAGCTATAGCAAAAGAAGGCTCCCAAATAAGGATGCAATTTTGCTTCTAACAGAGCAGAGCCTTCTGTGTGGGTAGTCCAAGGTTATGGAATTAATTTCTCCAGAAGCGAAAGTTCTAATCAGACTTGCACTAAGTATGAGGTACATTTCTGTGGCCTTGGTCATTCTGAGAAATTCTTAGTTATAGGTGTAGTTAAAACGTAAGAACTCCTAAAACATTATCAGAACAAGGCACTCTGCATCATGTATTTGTACCTCCGAAAAATAAAACTAGAATGAATGTGCCAATGTGTAGTCATGCTAATAAATGTTTTCCTGTGAAAAGCACTATGGTGGTCAGTGTGATATAAAAACCTATATAGAGTTGAATATGGAATTATTAAAATCTTGACATTGGTACCTGTAGTTTACTAGTTGTCCACAAATGTCCAGAATTAAAACTCCCAACCTTATTGACAAATTTGAGAGAACAGATGGTAGAGACTACCTATTAGCAGCCCTTGTAGGAAAGTACGTATTACTCATTGCTACCAGTGTCTGTAGCATCACTGTCTAGCACCTGGTTTCTCTCAAGTTTTCCTGTCCTTGGCACAGCCACAGATGGTTTTCATCTATTTAACACCAAATCAGTAACATGGATGCTATTACACAGTCTTACAACTTTCATAGCAACTGTGCAATTTCTTCTTTTTCTAAAGCATATGTCTGGTTACATGGTGCTCAGCCACAAGATCCTTAGCAGATTATTTACAACTCAGTTTTTTAATGCATCCTGACAAGGCAGATGCTACTTTCAATCTTAAACCTAGATAAAGTGCAGAAAAGAAGGTAGAATTGTTCCTTCTTTATATGAAATACAATACGGAAAAGTCATGGCCCATTCCAGAAATAGGTAAAGCTTTGGGATCTTGTTTATTACAAGTTAAGCATTCCAGGGAATCTTGCATCTTACTCCTTCCCAAACAAAATAAGAGGAAACAAATTGCTTAATATTATTGACAGAATAGATAAAATGCTGTATGTTGAAAACAAAAATCTCATTAACCAATTCAAGAGTACTGCAAGTCATCCTCTCAGAGAAATGTCTCAATCTTGGTTAGAGACTGTTTGCATCTCCTCAAAAGTTTAGAGCATTTGTAAGTCACTGCTGTTCCTTGTTAAACACTGCTGCGGTCTTCTGGATGCTGTGTGGCCTTCCTTGCTAGGTGAAGTTCTGTTTATAGCAGCAGAAGTACAGGCATCTGTCTTCCTTTCATATTTTTATGTTAGGGGTTCTTTGTCAGTAGTCTGCACTCTGGAACACTGTAAGGTAGAATGAGAACTCTTTTCTTTCTCACTATACTCAACCTTGTCCACTGGTCCAAGTTGCCCAACTTTGTACACTTTATGAGTAAGAGATGGAATTAGCTACTCAGATCTTATGTAAGTTCAAGCCAAATGATTAAATTTTGAGAGAATTTTTTGGTTTTGTAGATCTAAACATCTCTATGCTCTGTCTCAGTAGCTTTGTGAAAATTCATTGAATGGGAAGTGCAGTGAGGTAGACTTGCAGATTTCTGAATAATAGGACCATGAAAAACTTCCTGTCAGCTAGTAGAGACAAACCCTTGAAGGAGACTTTCCTCATCCAAGCTTCCAGAAGCCTTACTCTAGTTCTTGAGAAGCTTTCATGGCGTTCTTGCTGAAGGAGGAGTGTTATGGAGGAGTACTAAAATACATTGTGCCTTAACAGGACTTTCTAACTAGTTTGGAGGACTACTCAGAATTTGAATTGCTTGCATACTTACATACTTGTCACTTCAATATTGACTCGCTTTTGCTTGGTTTTTGTTCTTGATTTATTTAGGGATAAAGTGGTTCCAGAGAGAGTGGGCACTTACAGTATCCAGTTTACCTTTGCAATGGATAAGACAAATATGCTCAGCAGTGACCAGGTTTGAATCTATAATTAATTATATGTAGCCAAGAACATATAATACAGAATCATCTGGGAGAAATATTACAATACTTTGTAGATTCAGAATGCAAATACTTTCACCTGCAAACTTCACAAAAAAATTGATTTTTATTTTTGATAGTTACTGATTTCAAACTGTTGATTATCAAAATATGTTTTCACTAGCTTTTACAACTAAGCAGAAATTTTGTGGAATAACAGAGCTGCATAATTTGCAACCTAGTAGAACTGTTTTGTGATCATGCTAATTTATTTCAAGATTGTCAGTATATTTCATATGCATTTGTTCCAGTATTTTTTGAGCAACCCATGTGTGCAGGTGAATTGCAGTGAATTATATCAGTCTTTATTTTGTTTTGTTTTATTTTATTCTTCCTCCTTTTTCTGCTAGATTATAGTTGAAGTTGTACCTAATGACCCTGTACGCTTGTTACCTGATTCTTTACCAGCTACTCCAGCAGTTTCCAATGTTCGAACTCTTACTAGCCGTACACTGGTCAAGGATTTATACCTCCATGTAATGGTAACTATGCTTTAATACAAAATCTTAATTAGGAAAATATATAAGACTGCTAAAAATATGTTGAATTTTTCTGTAAGGTATTGCTGCTGTCTCTTTGCAGATTAACTTCACAAAAAAGATGTAAATCAGTGATTTCCAGTATATGACAGGTGCATCTTGTTTTATTTACATACAGATGACCAAAACTGAAACCTGCAATCCTTGCTGTCAGGCATCTCAACTGAAACCCACTTCTTGTTGCCACAGGAAAAAAAATGTTTCAAGAATAGATTCTAGTGGGAAAACACTTATATATACAGCAGATGTTTTGCTCCGTGATTTTTCTTCCAGGAGATAGTTTCTCTGAGAAATCTTGTATTACAAAAAATAAGGTTTCCTGAACTTTGAATGTTCACAGGGATACAGGGAGATCACTTGCCAGTTACTGCCATGGGCAAAACAGACTCAACTTGTGGAAAATTAATTTAATTTATTGCCAATTAAGATAGATTTGAGTAGTGAGAAACAAAAAAAGTAAAGCAACACCTTCTTCCCCACCCTTTCCCAGGCTCAAGTTTGCTCCAGACTCCTCTACTCTTCCCTGAGCAATGCAGGGAGCTGGGGAATGGGGGTCATGGTCAGTTCATAACAACTCCTCTCTGCCGCTCCTTCCTCCTCACAGTTTCCCTGCTTTACTGTGGGTCCCTCCATGGGCTGCAGTCCTTCATGAACTGCTCCAGTGTGAGCCCTCTCCACAGGCTGCAGTCCTTCAGGAAATACCCACCTGCTCTAGTGTGGGGTCCTCCACAGGCTGCCGTGTGAATATCTGCTCCACCGTGGTCCTTCGTGGGCTGCAGGGAAATACCTGCTCCACTGTGGTCCCCCTACAGGCTGCAGGGGAATCTACTCTGGTGCCTGGAGGTGCATCTCCCCCCCTCCTCCTTCTCTGACCTTGGTGTTCCCTCTGCTGTATCACTTTTTTTCCCCCCCTTCTTCTCCTCTATGCATTTTTGCCCTTTCTTAAATATATTTTCCCAGAGGAACCACCATTTTGGCTTAGGGGCTTAGCCGTGCCCTGCAGTGCATCAGTTGGAGCCGGCTGGCACCGGCTGTGTTCAGCATGGGGCAGCCCTGGCCTCTCCTCACAGAGGCCGCCCCTGCAGCACCCCCCACTGCCAGCACCTTGCCATGTAACCCCAATGCAGTATATAAATGGATTACTTATTTCAGTTCATGTTCCAAACTAACTTTGTCTTTTTTACTTACAGGATGAATACAATAACCGCACTGGAATTGATCTAGTTGGCAGAATAATAGCAAAAATTAAGAGCCCCAGTGAAGATGACACAGAGATCCCGCAGTTTCAGGGGAAAGTCAGTACAATTGAGTTTCCATTTGACAGAGGATCAGCTGAAATTGTAAGTGTGACTGAAACACACAGTTAGCTCTGTGAGCAATGCATCTAATGAGGCCTGTTTTCCTACAGTTTCAAAGTTGATCTTGCACCTCATCGTGTTTTGTGGAGGTTTAGCATATATTTTAGTCTTCGCTTACAGATAAGTAGGTAAATTAGTTTTTCTCTGTTTGGTTGCTGATTTTCAGAAAACCTGAAGGAAGGACATTCTTTAAACTGTTTATCTTTGCCAAGCGAGGGAGGTGTCGTGGTTAACCCCAGCAGGCAACCAAGCACCATGCAGCCGCTCACTCACCTCCCTCACAGTGGAATGGGGGAGAGAATCAGGAGGGTTAAAAGTGAGAAAACTCATGGGCTGAGATAAAGACAGTTTAATAGGTAAAGCAAAAGCCATGCACACAAGCAAAGCAAAATAAGGAATTCATTCACCACTTCCCACCAGCAGGCAGGTGTTCGGCCTTCTCCAGGAAAGCAGGGCCTCATCACATGTAACAGTCACTTGGGAAAACAAACGCCATCACTCTGAACGTCGCCCCCCTTCTTTCTTCTTCCCCCAGCTTTATATGCTGAGCCTGACATCATACAGTCTGTAGTATCCCTTTGGTCAGTTGGGGTCAGCTGTCCCAGTTGTGTCCCCTCCCAACTTCTTGTGCACCCCCACCCTACTTGCTTGTGGGGTTGGGGTGACAAGTAGAAAAGGCCTTGACTCTGTGTCAGCACTGCTCAGCAGCAACTAAAACATCCCTGAGTTACCAACACTGTTTTCAGCACAAATCCAAAACACAGCCCCAAACTAGCTGCTATGAAGAAAATTAACTCTACCCCAGCCAAAACCAGCACAGGAGCTTTACAAGTACATTCAGTTAGGGACTGAGGCATATAGGGGGATCCAGGATAAGTCTTTTCTTCATTTGAATTTCACGTGTAAATAAAACTTCAGCAATTTTTAGTTAAACTTTTAATATTAGTGGTATTTTGCATTTTTATTTATAATGCTAACTGGCTGTAATATCTTAAGATCATTTAGTCTGATCTCTTCATATATATATAATTAGATTTTGCCAGATTCTCTTTACTTTATGTCAAGCTAACTGGGCTTATATGTACTTTGCAAAAAGGCACCCTATCGTCCTTTGAAGAAGTAAAGATAAAACTACCACTTCTCTTTATGCTTTATTTCAGTCATTAGTGCCCTTGACTGTTAAAAGTGCTTGCCTTATTTCAGTTTGAATCTCTGGCTGTAGCGTTATGCATACCTCTGAAAGTACTGCATATTGTAGTCATGTCATCACTGTCACTTTTTCTTCAACAAATACAGATTGAATTATTAAAACCTGTGAGTTCCATTTGTAATAGTTGTTACAAAATATAATGTAAAAGACACAAGTTAAAACATGCACATGCACAAAACCAGAAACTGTTCAAAATACACCCAAAAAAACAGCTGAGTCTAGACCCACACATTTCTTCTGAGTGGAACGGTCACAGTCTCTCTCTTAAAAGTCTACAGAGAACTTCAGTCAACAGGACTATTCATGTGATGAAATAGGTATATATACATGGGGGTTTTTTTAAGTTGCTTAAGTATCATATAAGAATTGCAGACCAAAAGTATACCCCCACTTCATTTGGTTCCTCTGTTTGTCACATGTTTTATTAGCCTGAAGTCTGTGGAAATCTTCAAACAGTTAGAAGGCGTACTGAAGGACGATCCAACTTTTTAAAGAAATTTTTTCAGCCACCTTTTCTAACTCATTCATTGGAAGCAGCTTCCCAACAGACCAGCATCAGTCTGTGCCAGGTGGAGGCAGACACTGCCTTAGCAACAAATACAAAATCTCCCAATACATTTTGGAAGTCACCACAATAAAACCCCAGTAGAATCACTAAAATCTACAGATCCTACATACAAACTTCTTCATAATATATTTTATTCAGTACATCAGCTGCTTTTATGGAACTACATAGATGAAACTTAATGACACAGCATAAATAAATTCTCTGTCAATAACAGTCAAGGATGGAAACATCCAATTAATGTGGGCAAACATTTTTCATTGAACGATCTGACAAACGCTGGTCTACTCTGATCCATAAGGAAAAGTGACAAAATATGTATGAAAAACAGGTGTCAGATAAAATTAATACATTAATTGATTTATGGTGTACTCTGAGTTTCTCTTGTTGTGCAAGCATGTTTCAGGAGTAATCAATTAATTGGTTTGTGAACACATTTTTCTTGGGTAGGTAGGGTGGGAAAAAGACAGGTATAGCCACTGGTCTAATAAAATAGCACTTTTCTCCACAGATCTGGCATTTACACCTATGGTATAGAAATTTGAACAGATGTTTAAAAGTTCATACTGTTGAGGGGAATAATAACCCCATAGAGTGGACTCTGACAGTTCAGATAAAATTACTGAATAATTTCTCAGACTCCTCACCGGCGCAGAAATAACTGGTTTTTTACCTCCATGTACTAGTAACCTGCCACTGAGACATTGTAACCTAAATACTCCAGTATTGCTTCAGTGACTAAGCTAACAACCTATGTAATGGGGGGGGGGGGGGGGGGAGGGGGGGCGGGTTTTTTTTTTTTTTGTTTTTTTGGTATTTTTTTTTCGTAAACACATGCTTTTTCTTTCTACATATATATTCCTGGTTTCTTGGGGGGGGTGTTCTGCTTTCTCATTACTGTGATCTGATGAGATCCTACTGCTTTTGACAGTAACTTGTGCTCCCTAGTCTTCCATCAGGAGTAATTCCATTTAAGTGAATCCCGTATCTCTTCCCCCTTCAGGCAGTTTTCAGTTGTCTAGTTTATACTGAGTTCTCTGACTTTAGACAACTCACAAAACTCTTGCGGCAAGGATTTGTTGGTTGTGATGCAATGTACTTTTCATATGAAGACTAATAATGGGAAGGGGAGGGGATACACTAGTGTTTTTTTAAGTATCTTGAAATTGTTCCATCTTGTTTATAAATATAATTATGTTCAGTTAGCATCAGTGTAATGAAGCTGATAATCTGATGTGTTTACCCTTACACTGAGGTTCAAGAATACTAAACTTGTTTAACGAAGAAAAATGTTTAGATTTTTATTAGTATAAATTTTCTAAGGAAAAGATATTTCCACTACAGACTACTTCTCCTGATTAAATATGTAGCTACAATATTTTTGAAAGCCATGAAGACTATCTTTGAAGGTTATATATCTATCTCTTCTTTTAGGCCGCAGCCACCTCTCTTGATTTGGCCAGTTGAGTAGCAATTTCTACATGTTAAAGGTGGAAACAGTATGAGTTTTATTATAAGCATTATTCATTTTATGCATGATACCTTTCCCAAAGTAACAGCACATTTAGATATTACCTATACTAATTTTATTTCTGTTTATCATTCTTTATGGTTTTATAATATTTCCTGTGTTTGTAAAGAAAGGTGAAGGATTTAGTTTGTCTTTTCAATAAGGCATTGATAAGAAATGGGATGCTCATGTTAGTGTTTGGACATGTATTGTTCATTCATTTGGGACCTGCTGTCTACTTCCATGGTAACAGCAGTCACTTTAACTCAGCAATGGGAATAGTTTCTTTTTCCTTCTCTGTGCTTATGCATTGGGTCTTTGTTTTTAATGTTCCATTTGCATTTGTTCACATGCTGAATGAGGTAAATCTGAGGAAATCTTGCTTATGGGACAGTGCAGAGAATATTTTTTCTGAGCATATATATCTGAAATAAAATACATAGCCAAAAATAATAAGACTTTTTAAACAGGTAAAATGACAATCTTAATTCTTAAATAATAAAATAGTTACTGCTAAATCTTTGTATTTTACTTCTGTTTATTAGGTATAAAAGGCATTTCCAAGCCAATACTTAAAACTGTAGTGATATTGTATAGACATCATGTGTTAGGTAACTTAAAAGTTTTAGTATTTGAAGAATGTTTATTTTATTTTGTGTGTTACCTCAAGTGTGAACATAAACTTAGGTATGTTTGTTTGTTTGTTTTATTAGAATCTAGTGCTGGCTGAAAACAGCCCTGGAAGAGATAGCAGTGAATATATTCTTGTATTTGAGCCAGATCTGCCAGCTTTGAAAAAACCTTTGGAACCATACTGTCTGTCATTTATGTTTTACAATGGTATGTTTCAATTACTCTAAAATGCTTGCTTTTACTTAGAACCAACTATTTTTAGGTCCATAATACTTCTTCAGAACTGTGTAATAGCTTAATAGATTTTTGCTGATGTTTCAACCAACTAAGTATGTTACTGTATTTTCTTCTAAAAATATTTATTTCTATAGATTTCAAGAAGCAGCAACAGATGGCAACACTTACAAGGGAGAGAGACCAATTATCTCAGTCCATAGGTGTTTACAGAAATTGGTTTGATACTACTAATCAGCTTGTTACTGAAATTAAATGTAAGTTCAATCAAATATGTAAATAAATTTCCTGTGAATTAGACTTTTTTTCCTTTTTTTTACTTTTGAGAATACAGAGGGGGAGAAAAATTGGTACCGAAATCATGAGATGCAGTAATTAGAGGGGAGCAGAAGGGAGTATATCTTTGCATTAGCAGGGAAGCATCTAGTTATTTAGACAGACCTACTTGTAAAGGGTCTTGATTTGAGGTAGAACATCTTATATCAGAATGGGTCAAAAGGAGGAATAAAACACTGAAGCTGGTGGTCTGATTCAGTTTTTCCATGACTGCCTTGTACTCCCATCTTTGCAATGGATGTGTGAACGCTCATCCATCTGGAAATTCAACAATTGCCTAAAAACAATTTAGGGAATGAACTATAGATAAACCTCTTTCAAAACGTTAGTCTTACATTTTCAAAATGTTACTTTTTTGCCCCACATTTGACCCTATATACATTATTCAAAAGTATTGTGTAGCTATTAATTGTTTATGTTCTTCAGCAAATGTAATCCTTTATAAAGTCTGTTAAAACAGCAGAGCATTGTGAGGGCAGTGATTTATGGGAATGGGAGAGATGAAGGAAATGTTTTCTTTGCATTATTTTTTTTGTTTGAATCATCCTATCTGTTGATCAGAAGGTTTGTTTTAATAGATGCATTTTGAATTTTTATTTTAAGTAATCACTAAATGTAAATAAAGCATGCTGGAATTAGAAGATGGTGCTTTTTCTTGTAATTTTAGTACAGGGCTATGACTCTGTTACTTCCTTACTGCATGTTGTCATTACGGATGCAAATTCCTGAATTCCGGTGTGAAAGGCAAAAAGTTTTGTTTCCTATTTGCAGATTTTTGCACATCTCTAGAGTAAGTTAGAGCACAACATTATACTTCATGCTTCAATAACATTTCCAAATATAAACCTGTTTGAATAGAGTAGAAAGCAACTCATCTGTTTAATATTTTTTTTCCCAAAATTGCTTCAGTTCAGATATGAGAGTTGTCCAGAAAGTGGTGTCCCATATAAGAGACAAAAGAGGGTAGTGCTAGCTACTACTCCTCCCTTCCTTCTTGCCATTTCACCTGTTAGAGAACCATTTGGAAAGACAATTGAGGATGAAAAGAGCTTACATCCTCAGACTGATCTAAGAACTGGCCCCATTGCTTCCTGAAGCTGAAGGAGATGGCAGCTGCTGAAATTGCTTAGAAGCTGGACAAATCACAAAATCTTTCTGGACAAATTCTGATATTCTGTGCTGAAATTAAGAAGTAGATAGGATCAGCTGTGCGTGGCATAATTCTGAAAAGCTGTAAGAAATTCTGTAAGAAGTGTTCCATTGCTTTCTAATATTTCCTTACTCTTTGTTGATTTTATTGGTTTCAGGTCAGGTTAAAGAAGCTGAAACAAGAGAAACTCACCTGAAGAACGAACTGAGAAAACACCAGATTGAATTACCACAGACAAACACAGTATGGCTTATTTCTTACTAAACTCCATAACATCTTAAAAATAAATCTAATCTTAATATGAAATTGATATCATTATATAACATTATTGAATCACACTGGTATATACACAAGCACCTGTTACCGAAACCCTGAAAGTTTAAACCATGAGGAAAATTTGTGGATCAATACCAAACTTAAATTTTACTGCTCTACCAATATGACTGTCTCTTAAAGAAACTGCTAGAGGAATAAGAAAAATGTCTAATTTATATCCTGATCTTGGTTTTGCCTTTCTGCTAAGGTTACCAGTTGTGTTACTGGTACTGCTAGTTCTCATAATTTTTTTTTGCAGGCTGATCAATATACAATGGATGTATTCTGGCATAAGTAGACCAAAGGAAAACACTTCTTTTCAGAGAATTAGAGAATTTCATATGTTACTGCCAAAGCTGATGTAAAAAGAAGTTTGAAAGATTCAGGGCAATCTACCCCATCACTAATTTCCCATAAAGATCCAATTATATCTTAAAGAAACTCTAGGGACAGTTTTCAAACTACTAACATTTTGAAAAAAAAAAAAAAAGTAAACAATCAGTTATCTTTAGATCAAATAAAAACAAGTGTTACAGTCATTAATCACAAATCAATAGAATTAAATTATACACATTCTGCAATCATGATACCCAAATTCCCCCTGCTGGCTGAATTTTTCAGGGCTGGATATAGTCCCTTTGTAAAATGGTTTCTTTTTGTACATTTGTGGTTGTCTCTTCCTGCTGATTTAAATTTTCTTCAGTTTTGGCTCTAATAAAGCTCCAGTAGCTCTTTGTGAAAAGCTTCCTGAAGTCTTTAAAAGAAAAAAGTAGTAATAAAAAAGTTCATAGTCACAACTACAGTGTGCGTCCTTTTGCTCTCCTCTGAGATTATATGCAGTGGTCCCCTATATATTAAGAGTCTGTTTCAGATTATTGAATGTTTTTTTTTAGGAACTTGACTGACAGCAGATAAAGTAACTACTTCTACAGCTCAGCCCAATGGTGCATGCTTGCTAACTTTAAATTTTAATTCTCAGCTTCAGTATGTGGATTCTCTTATAAAACAAAAGATGTTGGATCAAGAAAGAGTAATGAAACAGCCAAGACGAACTTGTACCCTCCCAAACTATCCAAAAGGCAACCAGGATATTTTAGGCAAGGTGAGTTTTCTCTCAGAGCCTTCAAATGAGTTTTGTTGGTTCCAGGAAGTGGTAGTGATGGAAAATTAGTCAACTGAATATGCAAGTAATTTTTGAGGAGTATTAAAAAGAGATAGCATTCTCAACCCATCAGATGACCAGCTCTTCTAACAGAGCCATCAACAGGGGAATTAAATGTCTGGTTGAAGCTGCAGGATGATTGTAATTAGTATGAAAAGGGGAGGTGGTCTTGGCTTCTATTTTGACTATTCTAACTTCTGTGGTACAGATTGCACATTTAGCTCAAATTGAGGATAATGAAGCAGCAAAAGTTATCTCTTGGCATTTGGCAAGCGACATGGACTGTGTAGTCACACTGACTACTGAAGCCGCTCGTTCTATTTTTGATGAAACTCAAGGTCGACAACAAGTGTTACCCCTTGATTCTATTTACAAGAAGACACTCCCTGATTGGAACAGGTAGAGAAAAAACAAAGAAATTTGTGCATTTGTATTAAATACTTCTTCAACATTTTTTTTTTCTAATTTGTATTTTAAACTTTACTCCTATTAAAGATTCAAAGCATAAAATTTCTGGCATCATAATTACAGCAACAGTAATGTCACTTGAAATGTTAGCTGAAATAATAGCCTTGTATCTTTAACTGCTGTGCTTTGTTCTTTATTTAATAGTGTGTTTCTGTTAAAAAGAGAAGACAAATCTATCTATTTTTTTCCTTCATTCCTACATGTTTTCTAGAACAGGAACTTTTTTTAAATAATTCTAGTCCTTCAAATCAAATTCTAACTTTTTTTAAAAATTGAATTCCAAAGTACATTCCTTAAAATCATCTGTAGTAATAGAATGTCATTCTGCTGGTTTGGTTTCCTGGAAGATAAATGAAAATATAATAATTCTGTGCCTGAAAATAATTTGCTTATGAAGATGACTGCTAATATCATCAAGAATGACTTTTAGAAAACATATCATGTGCAGATGTATTTATAAGGTCAAAAATCTCAGTTTTTATAAAATAGTGTATTAAAACTTGTCCGTAAAATCAGTCATATGAACTTGTTGGATATATGTCTTATTACAAATAAGTGTTTCAACAAAGCATCTTTAATATAACTGGCATTTCAGATAATGTTGGGATCACTTAGCACCTAATGTGGAAGTGTTAAGATGCATTCAATTCATTTTGACATTTCTGACTAGATTCTCAGAAGCAATAATGAAATAAGGACAAATTACTTTTTTCTCTTCTTCTCCCTCACTCTCCCCTTTCTTTAACTAGGCCTTTGCCTCACTTAAGAAATGGAAAAATCTTCTTCAGACCTATTGGAAATCCTGTATTTGCCAGAGATCTGTTAGCATTTCCAGATAATGTAGAGCATTGTCAAACAGGTAAATGATATTAAAGAAATTGTTCATAACTTCTTTCTTTTTAATAAATGAAATACAGAAACATCACAAACCATAATCCATTCAGTAATCTTCCTTGAGACATTTACAAATACCAGTGTAGATTCCTCATGAGGTCTGCTGGTAAAAAGATGATGACATTAGCAAACAAGAGTTGTGAAAATTTCAGCAATGACCACTGTCTTCTGCTAGTTGTTTTATTTTTATTTTCTCTACTGTATATACTAGAGGTTTTTTCTTTTTTAAATTACTGCAGCATTATCTTACTCCCAAGCTCATGTAAGCAGAAACTGACAATCGTGATACTGGTTTTATATTTTCATATTGCATATGTTACTGCTTTTGTTAGGCTGTTTTTTCCAGTACACTGTAATGTGTAGATTAATGTACACTGAGACCAAACTGTACATGACTATGTATGTTATGCTTAAATAGTTACAGTGAGAATAAGCTTTCAATTTTTATGTATATTGCAGTTTAGGGAACCATCATCCTCTCGCTCTTTCTAACAACTTAGCAGTACCTACCTTTTCCTACACTCTTTTTCTTAAATTAAGTAGACCTACTCCTTTATATGGAGAGTTGGGATCTGTAAGTAGTTCAATAAGTTTTTTATTTTACTTCACAACTTCCCAGTATTGAAATAATCCTCTCTACTGTTAATAAAAAACAATTTTTAGTCCACTTTATTTTCAGAAATTTTGATATTGTAAGAGACTTTAACTAGAAATTCTTCTTAGTGTCCCTTGGGGGAATTTGAAAACCACATTGCTTGACATACCTCATGCAAGGCTACATCAAGTTAGACTTTGTATAGAACAGTCTTTTATTAGCAGAAGAAAAGTCTTAAACTCAGTTGGATCATCAGCCTGTGAATGTTTTTTTTTCTTTGATAACACACTGAATATTAAGAAACATTAAGAAACTAAGAACACAATTCAAGGAGGACTTAAAATTATCATTTATATAATTTCCTAAAACTTGGGATTTTATTATGTGTTTCGTCATAAATGTGAATGTAAGATATCAAGAGAGTAATTTGGTGGAAAAAACAGTCAATTATGCCATAAGGCAATTAAACATAGTAAATTTTTTTCTTTATGAAGTCTTAGATGAAAAAAGAAGATTGCATATTTATCTCAATCTCAGAATAAAATTTCATTGAAAAAAGATCATGCACATGCTATTTCCCTTGCACTTATCTGAAAAGCTGTAATAATGATGCCTCAGAATTGATTTTTCAAAATTCAGGTTATTTTGTTGCGGAGAAATTTCATGGTTCAAAAAATTATATTTTTCAGTGTTTGGGATGCTCTTGGGTGACACTATCATTATAGATAACTTGGATGCTGCCAACCATTACAGAAAAGAGGTATGTTTCAATTATTATTGATATTTTTTTAAAACAAATATTTTGCATAGCTACATATTTAATACATTACAAACTTAGAACGATTGCTAAGTTTAATGCTGCATTAGCTGTAAATGTGCTTACTGTCTGTAGGTCTCGATGCACTTAACAGTGAATGAAATCTTTATTATTGGCACTGACAAAATTACCTTCATTCAACAAATTCCATGTGAATGTTGCCATGAAGCATGGGACCATGTTTTTAAAGATAAACATTTTTAATTTTGCTGTTAGTGTTAAATGCAAGTTCTTCAGTACTTTCCTAGTCCCAGTATGTATAATAAAACACAGGAGTGTGAGGCACATGATGAAATTTCAGATCCACTAAAATTACTAAAGTCTTGATGTGAAATTTACTAGACCTTTTTCTGACCCATTTTATTTAGGTTTAATGGGACACATTTTGGCAGGCAAGAGTCTCTGAGGAAGTCCTGACACTGGGCACTTTCTGTTTCAGCTTATGAGTTTGCTAGAATTGAAATAATGATTCAGCATAAGAATGTAGAACTGTATGATTAAATATTAAGCTCTTGGGGCTGGACATTCTTTTTTTTTTTTTTTCTTCCCCTCTCCAGAAAAATAAGAAATTGTACTGCAGGGTTGTTCTTAAGAGAACAACAAGTTAATAAGGAATCTCTGGTGGCATCTAAAATTGGCTGCCTGTTTCGTTCTTTCAGAGTCAGCACAGCACGGATTTCCTGCTCTATGCTCTGGGCCTGACCAGCTCTTTTGCTCTATGATTCCATTCCCTTTTTAATGGCTACCACTAGCTGGTAACCTGGGAACAAGGACTGTCCTGAATGTTTCCAGAGTGTCTCAGAAATATGGATATACTCATAGTAAAAAACAGATGATTGATGTAAATATTTTAATTTTCATCATGTGTTATAACCACTTCAGTGTCCATCAAGTGAACAAATAGCTACCATTTTCAACTGTGAAGACTGTGTGTGCTTCTTTCATCAAAAAGTATATATTTTTTACTGAAAAATCTAACAGAAAAGGCAGGAGAGTCAGGTCTTGGTTGTTAATCAGTGTCAGGAGACTGACCATCTGTGTCTGTTCAGGAAAAGGAGTTTGTATATGTGGTCATTTCTCAAAATGAGGTCTGGGTCATTTCACTTGGTCAGTCTGTCACCCCATTTTTTCCAGTCACTCACCACAGGTAAATTTTATCAACTTTATGGAAGTTTTATTGAATATGTTATAAGAAATAAATCCCTTGGAATTTAGATGCTTTAAATCTTGTGCATTTCAAAAAAAAAAAAGCCATCTTCATGAACTAATTGAATAAGTGCTCACATTTTTTATCAACACTGATTTTTATTGCCATTACTTCATAGTGTATGTTGATAATTATCTTTTTCCCAGTATAGATCTAAATTCTGCCTCCAGAGTTCTGTTAAAATCTGAGGACACAAAAAAAACCCAAAAATCTAGTCTTCATAATTATCAACAGTACTGTTTAATATATGCATTCTATTACTTGTAAGCAGAAGTCATGAAATGTAAATAAGTTCTCATTAGAGAACAAGCTGTATCATAGTTGAAAAACACAAAGCTTCACAACAGCATTGCTAAAAACTTAGATTTTCCCTGGAGTTACTAATTTAGTATCACTTTTTATACCTGTGTAGGTTGTAAAAATTACACATTGCCCTACTTTGCTGACTAGGGAAGGAGACAGGATTCGCAGCAATGGAAAATTTGGAGGCCTTCAGAATAAAGCTCCTCCAATGGACAAACTCAGAGGAATGGTATTTGGAGCACCTATGCCAAAACTTTACTCTACTTTCTCTGGACAGATAGGTGGGTTAATGAAGTCATGAAAATACAAAACTTCCAAAAATATATTGCTTGCCTATGTTTGTTATTCTTTAATGTAATATAAAAAGGAAAACTTCAATTTAGCATAAAATTATTTTAAGAAATGTGGCCTGTACAATGTCCTATTTATGAATTTTCTTAAAAGCTGATAGCTATTAAATTTCCTGAAAGCAAAAATAATGATCATGAGATATTCCCCCTTTTTCTTAGTCTTATTAAAGCAAGAGTATAAGCAGTAGTAATCATTCAAACAGCAGGCATCCTTGAAAAACACGTTTCAGGTCTTCTTCCTTCAGAAACAGCATACATCAGTACACCAGTTTAGAATGTCTTACTGTGCAAGTAAGCTCTATGAAGCAGTGATAGAAAAATTCCTGTTCTCATCAGTTATGCACAACATCTACATTATTTCCCTAAGAAGAAGATGCCTTATATTTCCTGCAGGATCACTTATATTTCATTATGTGCTTGGATTCTTCCTTTCAGAATAAAGGTTATAAATTAAGTTAAAAGATGGCACCTTATGACATGTAACAGCTGACCTGACTGACTTGTAAAACATTGAAGTGTCTTATTCACAAATAAGATTGTTCTTAAATACTTAGTTTTCAAAAGAAAGGACATGAAGTTTTTCCATAACATTATACCTAGAAATGTGCAGTGGAAAGGGGACGGGGGAACGATAGAAAGAACACATGTACTTATTGGAGTAGCCTTATATATGAGCAAACTACTTAACATTGACCAGTTGAGGGAGAAAAAAAGAGTAAAAAGATCTTTCCTAGGCATTTCAGTAAAAATATATTACATATAGGAAAAACGTAGTAAGCATTTCAGCTACAGGCTGAAATATGCTGGTTTTAGCACACTATATTTTTCTATCACCACATTTTCAATTGTTGAACTCAATTATTACCCAATGTGAATTAAATTGGAATTGTCTATAATTTAGTACAGGAACAATCATGGTAAATTGGGCATGTTTTAATTTCGCTTGGACTAAACATTTAAGGAAAATAGTAGTGAAATTCCATATAAAGGACAGCACCTCTTTACGCAAGATTTGTTTTGAACTGAATTTCAGCCTTAACGTTAGTTCTGACTTGCTCTTCTACTATGTTTGTAGCATAAAAGGAAAGCAGTTACTTAAACTGTGATTACACTGACAATGTACTTCTAAAATAAACTGTACTAAGAATTTACAGTGCCTTTTGTCAGTCTGCAGTAACTATCTGTGTGAATGCTTTCTCCCTGTGGCAAATGTAAGGTAATTTAGTGTTCACTTAAGCTTTGTGCAAGCTTCCTCATATTCACCACAAAGTAAAATGAATGAGCCTGGGCTAACATGCGTGAACCTTTTCTTTATTCCTTGACATATTTATTCAATGCCTGGACAAAGAAAAATTCTTTGTCTCATATGTTAAAAGAGGAACAAAGTTTGTCAGCAAAATACACCCTTGTTTACCTGAGTCTACTGCTGTCTCCTTGTTTAAATTTCTGTAGGTGGGACAAAGTGAAACTCAGTAAATGTTCTCTTGTTCCACAAGGTGGACTAGAATTCAAGTCAGTAATACAAGCTTCAGCTTTGCAGCACTAAAAGCAAAACATACTACAAGCACACTTAATGGCATCAAAGTTAGAGAATTCAGTCTGGAGCACACAAGTGACAAGATATGTAAAGAAATACTTGTTTGCCACATCATTTTCAGGGTTCACTGGTAATTTACTCTGATCTAAGATATGGGCTGAAAAAGAAAAGAGGAATCAAAATGTTAGATGTGATTATTTTTTTTCAGTCTGTCTTTACAGTCATTTTAAGAACAGCCACTGGTCCACTATAAATTTGAGTGGGGGTTTTTTAAGTAGTGTTTTTGAAAGATATATTTTCTTGTGAATCTTATACATTGTCTGGATTGTATTTGGTAGCCTTCTAAATCAAAATGACCACTTATTTACTGTTTTGTGTTTTATTATTTTATTCTTCAATTAGATCTTCTTCAGCAATACCGTGCAGCAGTGGTGAAACTTGAAAATGTGAATAAGGACCTTGCTTTACATTTGCAGTCACTTAACACTCCAGAAATGCAGAAGAAAAAACAGGAACTTGCCGAACAAGAGAAAAGCCTCAAGCTAATAGAGCAAAAATTGGGTAGGTTATTGTATTATATTTTTGGTGTCCTAAAGGAGAACAACTGTTAACTGCATCCAGATGTATTCTACTCTTACAAACTAACAGGTTCAAACTATGAAGGAAGATTGTTAAAGTTAATTAAGAGCTTAGAGATGTCTCATTTTAGGGAAGGAATAGAAAAACTGTATGTAGTATGTGCTGTGGATATTGTCTAGACCAGCAGTGCCCTGTAATGTGTTCAGATAATAAAAATGTGGTCAGTTAGTGTCTTGTGAACATGAAACTATGTTCTCACTAATATGAGATTATATAACTATTAGTCTGGCTGGCCCAGTGGTAGAGAACATTGACATTTTTCTGAAATGACTGCGTAGTAAAGAGCTGAATTGCTTTTGCTAAGGAAACACAATCAAAACATTGTAGTATAAAAAGAAACACCCCTAATCCTGCAAGGATAGTATTTCTTAGTTAGAAAAGTTTTTTATGTCAATAACAAATAATTTATAATATTTCAAAATATATTTAAAAAAACAACATTTACTCTGTGACAACTATAAGTAAAGCAAATGTTTTTACCTGTCATCTTTGAACTCAGTTTCAGACATAAGGTAACTATAAAATTTATGGCATGTCTAAAGCCTTACTTCAAAGGTTTAACACCACTGTTACAGGGCCCATTTATAACCAGTAGAATTAATATTTGTTTAAATTTGTTCTTACTTGCAACTTTTTCATAGGTATGACTCCATCAGATAAAGCCACTGAATCATTACTTCAGCCACATCATATGTTAGATATGTCTGACACCCCCATCCCTCCCAAAAGAATGCGAAGAGAAACAGTAAAAAAATTGTATAGGTAAGTCTATTCTGAATCTAGTCACTACTTTCCCATATCCTGAATTCAAAGCAAAAACTAGTTTGTTTTTTTACATGGGAGATTATTTTTTTTTAATTTGTATTTGGATACAATAACCAACAATGAGTAGAGTTTGTGTAAGGCTGATTTTCAAGGTAACTTTTATTTAAAGTTTCTGCTGTTATTTAAGCTTGATATAAAGATACGCTTGCTAATTCTAATTCTGTTTCTCTTTCTGAACTGATTGGCTGGCATCTTTGTGCATTCATGTTCCCCATATTTTCTGGTATATTCAGCTCTGCTGCACCCCAGAAATATTTGAGATGGCTTGGTCTGTCAAGTCTTTTAAGGTTCAATGTCAAATACTGGGCAGATGAACAGAGAAAGAATTTTTCTTACATAACTTTTTCTAAGTAACTGTCTGAGGTGAACTGGTGGTAAAGTATTTAACACAGTTACCTCTCTACCTGTATCTACTTCTACATTGCCTCAGTGGCTAATGAGCATTTGCACACACCTCAAAGAGAAAATCAGGGAAATCTGTAAGTCTGTATCTTTAAAATGACATGGAACTGACTTTTCCATTTCTCGTCTCTCTCCTCATGAGTGCATCATTGTCTTTGCTGAACTATGGTCATATTTTTGAGATTATTTAAATCTTATTCAGTTGGGTTCTCTAAATCTCAGAATGAGTTTTCACTATATTACTATGTCTGTTTATATTTGTTGTTATTTTAATTTTCTTATCCACATGCATTTAAACTGTCTAATATTAGCCTGATGCTATTCCTCATTTTAACGAAATAATTACAGGAATTAGAAGCTGTGCACAAATATGGAGTTTATAATATTTATACTAGTGGGAGCTCTGTGCTTTTGCATCAATTATATCAAATATATGTATAAGTTTATAAGCTACTGTGGTATGTTTTTGTTTAGCTCAGAAGAATGGATCTCCTCTCCCACAAAGAAGCAGCAGCAACAGCAACTGCTGCAAATATCCCCTTCAGAACTTAATGGGACTCCACGAAAGAGAAAGGCATAAGACTGATGAGACTTGCTGAAAATAGCTATGTATTGAAAATGTGAATAAATTCAGTTAAAGGAAATATTCATGTTGTATTACCCATTACTATGAAGATTTTTATACTGATAGAAGATATAAATGTATTTCAGTTAGTAGTAACAAAAATTTAAGTATTTAACATTGATAGCGTAATTTTTGTATAGTTAATTTTCATTTCTAAAAGCTTTCAGAGTTTTTATGTTCATGTGTGAAAAAAGTTTAAAGTATATGCTTTTTTATTTATGAAAAAATTCAATCTTTTCAATAAAACTGCTTCAGTACAAAGCACTGCCAATATAATTGATTGTAATAATTAAGTCAACAGATTGTGCCATGAAATGAGATTTTAATTTTAAAAGCATCCCAGGCTGTCTTGGGGAAGAGAACTTTCTGGACTGCTCAACTGAGCTGTTGAGGCAGTATCGATTTAAAAGGGAGGGTTTGAGCAGTGATATACTGAGATCTAACCACAGCCGTTTGTAGAGCCTTTAGACAGTTAACAACAAGTCAGTATCTAAGGCTGTGTCCAAGGTGTTGATGTGGGAATTCATATCTCCTTCAGACAGTGCCAGTGGAAAAAACAAAGTAGTAACTTGTGAGTATGAAAAGTGCAACAGGTTTACTAGGAGGCTATTTTATGGATTGGGAGAGTGGTGAGTAAGGATACTTCATGGGTGCAAACGAGATACAATATTGTACCAATACTGACCACTTTTCAGCATCTGTATTACCACAACCCTCATAAAAAACTGTGTGTGTATGCAGTTTAAGAGTTGGAAATGGAGACTTAAGCTGAACATAAGAAAATCGTGTTGGGAAGCTGTAGATACCTGGACAGAATTTTACTTTATAAGGCTGTCTCCAGCTTTAAAAAACAAACAAACAAAAAACCCCATTCTGTTGGCTTCATAAATACCTAAAGAAAATTAAGTTTTCCATGGTTTATGAAACAGAGTCTTAAAATGCTAGAGAAAGTAGTCAACAGGTAAATGAGAAAAAAAAAAAAAAGGGAGAGTCAAAGGTTACCTCTAGCGATCTGCATCAGAAGGATTTTAGTAATGTGCAGGGCAGAAGAGGACCAGGCATGATTAAAGATACAATTTCAGCCAGGATGAGAGTAAGCAGCTGGAAATAGGATTGACTGGATGAAAAACATAGGGCAAGAGTAGAAAGCTAAACTTTTGAGGCAGTATAAAAATATTAGTTGAAGCTATGTAAATAAAGAACATAGCAGGAGAAGGGGTTCAAGGATGTGGATGTGTTGGTTCACACCAGCCTCAAAAGAATTTCTGCTTTGGAGTGAAAGTTGCTATCAAGTCTGCTGATTTATATGCACTCAGCAACATACATTTTATATACGGCTTTTCTGAAAAGGGACTTTAAACTTAAAAAGACATGCTGGCATCCTGACAGAAGTTTCATGGCATCCTGCTAGAAGTTTCGGAATGCTGATCACTGGTGCACATCTCTGTGACATTTCTAATAAAACTAAATTTCTCCAAATTAAGGAGAAATTAAGCAGTGCTTTCTGTGGTAGAAGGTTCTTCATAACCTCATGTCTTAAAGATAGTCTAAATTACTTTAGACATCAATTTGTCCTATTCTTAAAGAAAATAAATACATTCAAGTACAACATGTAACACCAGCCAAAAACTGTTAGCCCTGCCTCAGCCCTTTTTCCTTTTTTTCAGCTCTAAGTTTAGACATCAAGACTTGAACCAGGCAGCCATAATGGGGTTTGCCACCTAAGAAATTGTCCCACCGCACCAAGTTACTCGGTAGTACTTCTTTTAAATGCATTTATTTTAATTCTGACATCTGTCTAGCCTCAACCTCCAATCTCTGGATGGCCTTGAATCTTGTTTGTTTAAATACCTATTCCAGCAGAAATGTTTCCTTTTGAAATTCATCTCTTGCCTTCAGTGGTCAGTGTAAGCACTACCAGTGTCATGCGATGTATCTCCCTGCTGGAAGAAGCAAATAGGAAATTAAGGATGATTTCCAGAGTTGTGCAATAGCTATCAGAGATTTCAGGAAATTTCACCAGGGAATTTTCAGGATTTTTCAGCAGAGGGGTTGCAGGTTAATACAGTGCAAGTTACTGCTTTGCATAGCTGTTTAGGACAGCTGATTTGGTCCTGACAAAACATCCAAGCTCTGAAGGTAAGTGTCAGTTGTTTTTTTAGTTTACCCATTCTTTACTCTGTTACAGAGCAAACTAGGGACTAAAAACTAGGGTGTGTATGTTGTCTCACTGATTTCATGAGGGGCTGGTGTAGAGAGCAGTGCAGGAAAAGTGAGAGGGAGCGGTTCTGGCTGGGGCCTGGGCCAGCTCATGGGAACAAGGAGCTGGTTTCTGATGGAGGCCGGAAGCAGCTCCGGGTGGGGAAAGGCTGCTGCCCACTGCTGCACTGTGGGGAGAGGAGCTGGGTGGTGATGGGATGGAGGAGTGGGCTGCAGGCACACCAGGTCAGACCCTGACTGTACTGCAGCCAGTGGCAGCAGCCGCAGAGCAGGGCTGGCTAGGAATCCCCTGGGTTCTCTCTTGGCTGCGGGCACCTCTCCCAGCCCAGGGAGACAGGACTTCACCTTCTTCCTTTTTTTCCAGCAGAGACCCCCAGAGACACTGGCATGGTGCCACTGTCCCAGTGTGAGGTGGTGTCTGCAGTGGGCCTATCGCTGCATGCTGTCAGGAAGCTGAGTAGGAGGCCCATTGCTGTGCCAGGTGACCCCACTCTACACAGCGGGCCCTGTACCCCCCACAGCAGTTTTCCCACTCAGAAGGTAGACAAGATTTCCCCCATCGAAAGACCTGAGACTTGCCCTTTCACCAGCTTGCGACTTTTATTTCTCCCTGCCCCATCAGACCCCAATATCATCGTGTTGTATGCTGGGCTCATCAGCGAAGATGGGAATTAGAGCACCTGTCACTTCAACAAGGAAAGACAGGGGGCCGCACCTCTATGGTGTAAGCTGCTGAGTTCTCTGGTAGGACAGGGAACCTCTGGCAAAAGTCTATCAAGAGGAAACCTAAAGTGAGTCCTGTGCCTAGGCTTGTGTCAGCAACTGTACTTATCTTCTTCCCAGTCTCCCTCCTTTCAGCAGAGGAGAAAACGTCAATGGCAAGGCTTTTTTTTTCCTTCACCTACCTCTAAAGGACCATAGCTTGACTCGGTGCTTAAGCTCTGCTTCCCCTAGGCTAGCGTGTACTTCGTGCTTTCTGCTCTTCCTCTAGCAAGCAGGGATGCAGAGACTGCCTGTGTCAGGTGAGGGGTGATACCCCATGTAACCCAGTGATGTTGGTCAGTGATGTTACCGAAAAACTCAGAATAAAGAACTTGTCAACACCAATGTAGTGTAGATAAGCAGACACTTCTTTATTAATGGCCGGGTGCGCGGGCAAGTCCTCTCACGAACCACGCACACCTGAACACCAAAATCATACACCTTATATTAAACTTATTCATACATATTCATTAGATTTCCGAGTAATGTTATACATATTCATTAGATTTCTGGGAAGTTATTAGCGTATGTAAATGTCCTTTACGCAGGCGCAGTGAAGGTCTCTGGTGGTCTTCAGAAGCCCTCTGGTGGTCTTCCATAGTCTTCCTCACTTTGTCCGATAGTTGACCTTTCATGTGATTCTGCGCAGTACGATTTTTTGCCATCATGTATTAGATTTACATAAAATACATTCAATGTTAATTCTTGAATTTAATATTTCTAGTGATTGGTCCTCAGTCACACCACCTCATCAATATTCTTATACTAAAACAATCATTGGTTAATCTCACTTAACTCTACTGATTGGAATTCTCGTTAATTAGATCAAAGTAAATCTTTGCCAAAGCTTCCGTGGTTAACTGATTTCAGACAATACTCAAATTCTTATAGTTACACATAATACATTTTCTTAAGTTCCTAAGTTCCTATTAATTTGAAATTCTGACATCTGTTATCTAAGTTCTAAATGTTCCTACTAGATGATTTTAACCAATTCCTCCGGCCTTGGTACAGGGCTATACAAGAGATTTCACAGCAGCTGTTAGTTGTTGGTTAAATATATAAAATGCAATACATAATTTTGCTAAAATAGTTCTTATAGTTCCATATTCCTATTAAAATTAAATATGATTAATTCTAACTAATAACAAATCAGTAACAGTGACAAGTCCTTCCTTTCCAAACCACACTGCTGTGGTGTTACAGCCCCACCATTGGGAGCCCTGGCTCCACAACTCTACCATCCCAGTATCACCATCTTCTCCAGTACTTCTCTAGCCACATGTATCTCATCTGTGACTTCCTTCTGCCGCCTCCAGGGCCTCTCCGAGTCCCATTGTCCACCAGGGCTCCAGTTCAGGGAAAGAGCAGTGAGAGGGAAGGAGGAAAGGATAATGCCCACGGGGAGCAAAAGGAAGGCAGAGCAGTAAGCGAGGCAGAGAACCACTGCAGGATGATGCTATACTATCACTACATCAGTAGCCTGGATGAAAAACGCACCCATTCCAAATGTCCGTTGAGACACCCTGTGAGACTTGAGCAGTGTAATTACTGGATGTTTTGCTCTGAAGCCTCCAAAGTAGGTGCATATTTGATGAAGCTAGGTTTATATTGCTATTCTGAATGCCATTTCAACTAAGCTGGTCAAGAGATTTGCAGTCACCATTGATGAATGGTCCATACTGTCAATTGCTCACAATAGGAAGACATGTAAGTTACTTGCTGTAATATGTTTTTTCAAGGGTGCAGTGTCTACAGGTGCATTTTGCAGTTATTCCTCCATCCCTTTTGCTGTGTGTTTCTAGATAACTGGGATCCAGTAGTTCAGCTGGGGGAGAGGGGGAAGTGAAACAAACTCAGTTGTCCTTGGTGAATAAAGCACAACTGAAGTTATGAGCACTCAAGGCAGGTCTAGTTCACTAAGGCGTGTATGTTTTGTGACACAGGAATGGCAATCCTCCATGATATTTGAGAAGTCATGGCAGTCAGGTGAAGTCTCTGGTGATGGGAAAAAGGGAAATATTGCACCCATTTTTAAAAAGGGTAGAAAGGAGGACCCTGGGAACTACCGATCAGGCAGCCTCACCTCTATGCCTGGGAAGATCATGGAACAGATCCTCCTAGAAGCTATGCTAAGGCACATGGAGGACAGGGAGGTGATTCGAGACAGCCAGCATGGCTTCACCAAGGGCAAGGCCTGCTTGACCAACCTAGTGGCCTTCTATGGTGGAGTGACTACATCAGTGGACAAAGGAACAGCTATG